GGGTACGTCATTTATATAAACCCTGTTGAATAGGGGATACATGGACAAGGTCTGGTGGTGAAGAAAGCGGTGAAGCATGTGGTGCTTGACTTAAGCCAGTGGAACCACAGTGAAAAAAGAGGTTCAGGGGATACAGGTTGAGATTTGTGGCTTAAGCTGGAACCTCATACATTTTTATGCAACGGTAGACGGTTTTGTAAGAAGGGAATAATGGGGCTGGCTCAAGGAATTGGAGGAGTTACCAGGAGATAGGTTACTCATATGATTTCAACGCGAGAAACAGGGAATAGGACATCAGCGAAGAAAACCGACAGGGAATTGCCCTTGCAGAGGCCATGGTTGACTCCGATATGGTCTGCATCAATGATGGGAGGCCGACTAGAATGGCAATGAGGTCTGGAGATGCAGACACAGCCATTTACTTGACATTTGTCTCTCAGTCGTCGGTTTCATATGTTAAATGGACTGTCCTGAATGACCATGGGAGTGATCACCTACCATGTTCAATTCTGATTTCTAAACCCAGTAAGGTTAAGGCTTGGAGAGCACGCAAGACCTTCCGGTATAAGTAGACCAAAAACCTACTTGGACGCCTCAGACAGGGAGCATGCAACAGAACTACCAGAACTAATTTTCTACAGCCCCCATGGTGGACTCCAGAAGTAGATCAGGCGTGGAAGGCAAAGAAAGTCGCAGTGAAGCAGCTAAAGAAAGTACGATAGACACCCTCAAGCTCACGAGAGGAAGTGGAGATGACAGAGAATGTTACAAAAAAAAATTAGGTGGAGGTTTTCAATCGCTATGCTGCAGTTGCCAAAAGAGCCAAATGGAAAACTGTTGTAAATGATATAGGAGGCGATAAAACACTGGTGAAATTCTGGAAACTGCAAAAGCAGATGCAAAGAAAAGATCGGCCTATGACTGTCGGAACAATTTGTAGAGACGATGGTGTGCGAATAACAACAGACAAGGAGAAAGGGGAGGCTTTTCTCCATTGGTTTATAGTTCAGACAGATCATAATGATATAGATATCACGGATGCAGGAGTTAGCTGTCACCTTAAAGAGCATGCATTATAAAGACATGATACGAGTAGAAAATATCAAACAAATTTTGAAAAAGGCAAAAGACCAGGGTCTGATGGGGTCAGGTATGGCCACATGAAGGCTTTGAGTGATGTAGGCCTGGTAGAGATGACCGACTTCTTTAACCAGAGCATTAAGACAGCATCAGTACCGCAGGACTGGGTGCACAGCTATCTAATCCCAATGCTAAAACCTTTTAAGAATCATTTAAAGCTCGGTGGCTTTAGAGTCATTACCTTACAAAACACATTTGGGAAGGTCTTGGAGAGGACAGTTGCTGTAAAGCTGCTAGAATTTTTGGAAAGAAGTCTGGGAAGCTACAGGCCAGGAAAGGACACATGGACAAATGCGGCCACTTTTGCTTTTGACGTCTATGAAGGGTTCCAGAACACACAGGAAACTATGGCGGTAGGACTGGATCTCGAGGATGCTTATAACAAAGATACGAAATCTTGATGACTGCACTGAAGGAGAAGAAAGTCAGTCCGTGGTTGGTGAGCTGAGTTGGAGCTGTCCTTTATTCACGTCGGGTTGCTCTCCGACTGGGCTCATGGACCTCAGAACCATGCAGTTAGACCCAGGATTGCCACAGGGATCCCCCATCTCGCCTGTGCTCTTTAACGTGTATACGATCAAGATTACAAGTCTAGAAGCATCAGGAGCTGAAAGGATACTGACTTTTGCGGATGATATACTTGCATATAGGCAGGGGGAAGAGAGGGAACAAACAGCTCGGGAGCTACAAGCAACAGAAGACAAAGTGACTGAGTTGTGTACAGAAATGAAGGCTGTCGTCCACCCGGAAAGGCGTCTGTTATGTGGTGTTCTCTAGACAACAGGATCATTAGAGATAACGTCCAAAGTCTCACGATAGATAGTAGAAACGTCAACAGAGAGAGCAAACTGAAGGATCTGGGAATTACATTTGACAGGAGCATGTCCTTAAAGGAACATGTGAAAAGTGTTGCGACAAGATGACAAAAAGGACTTAAGACTATAGCTGCGATTGACATAGAGCAGAGAATGCTTTTCATGATATATCAGCACCTGATCCTGTCAGTTGTTGATTATGGCCTGGGACTGCTTACCATCGCAGAGTCAGAGGGACAAACTAGAGTGCATACAGAACGCAGCTATGCGGGTCATTCTTGGTTGCACCAGAGACACCCCAGTAGCGTGTATGTGATAATCCTTGGTTTGCCGACTGTGGCAGATAGGCACAAAGTGCTGCAGGCGAAGTCATATCTCAAGGTAGCTGCAGACACAGACGACTCTTTGCACGAAGCTCTGGGCGCAGTAAAGGGACAGAGGCTGATAAGAGGGAAATCATGGATGGCTCAGGTAGAAGACACAATCAGACGGGTTTGCATACTCGAGAACATTAGGCGAGGAGAGGAGTAGGTCAAAGTTCCACCTGAACAGTCAGACTTGTGTAGGGTCATAATCACATTGAGCCGAGAAGGCAGAGACTGGCCAGCAGGTGCCACAGAGGTGGAAATTCAGCACATAATTCAAGATAATGCTAGCTCAGAGGATTTGACTATTTACACAGTCGGCTCAGTGTAAAGAGGCAAAAGAAGTGCTTGGGGTTTCTTAGCAAAAGAACACACAGCTTAAGAATGGATGTGGAGGCGGTCACTACAGATTTCCACTGGTTAGATAACACGACACACATTGTAATTGCAACTGACTCAGAAAGCATGCTGAGGAAGTTCAGGACAGGCATGCTTTATGCGGAGTGGCATACTTCACTGCAGAGGACACGGGTGAGGAGTATTGTCTGGATTTTTTCACCTTATATGCCGGTGTGTTGGGAAATGAACAGGCGGATAGACTGGCTGACTCTGCGCAACTTGGTGGAATACTGATGCATGTTAAGGCAGACGTGGTTAGTGCCTTGTGGGAGAGCGTGTACAGTTCGGAGGAGCAGAAGGATCACCAGTCTGGTGAGATTGATGCAGGGGGGAGTGACGAGAGGTTCTGGCAGATGCTCGAGGCTCAGATGACAGGCAAGACGGACGTTTTATCAGAATGCTACTGGCACCATTAGTATCGGAACTCTTCGCTGGCTGATGAAGATGGGAACAGAGCTATTATGGGAATGCCACGAGTGCTGTGATGTCGGTTCTTGAATCAATCAAATCACAGCGTAAATGAGTTAAATACACGTGGGTCCCCTCGTCGCAGTAAATAAGTTATGTGTTACAAATAATACGATAAAAGAAAGTTTGTACTGTCGAGAAAAAAATCTCATTAAGTATTAAGTAAATATAATAAAGCTGATAATGAAAAACCAATTTTTTTTTTCAGTTTACAAAAAAAAAAGTTTACCATTACAGATAATATTGAAAACTAAAACCAGCGCAGTAACATATATTGTTCCGTTTGTTGCTGAATGAAAATGTGTTGACATTTTATAACCGCTGGAGCTGCAAGCAGACGTCTGGCTTTTGGTCTTCGAGGACGGTGTTTTTGTAAGTATTTGAAATAATAAACTTTTAAAATGTCTGTGGTGAATCAAAGTTAATAGTTAAGTTTCCGCCGTGGAAAGAAGCGTTAGTTGAGCCAGGTTAGCTATATTTATTATGTTTTTAATTTAATGTTTGTAGATGTTAGCGCTTGTTAAACAGTACAACACAACATCGTGGTCGGCTTTTTCCTAAAACACAACAGACACAGCAGTTGACACACGCGTGTTTCGACCTCATCAATATTCTTTAAGTAGAAGTGATTGCTTTTTTTCTTCTTTATTGTGCAGCTGACTAACAGTGACTAGACCTACTTCTATTTTTCCTTAGTTTGTTTACATATTTTCATAGCTTCACTGCAGTTTACTGATTTTAAGTTTTATTTCAGTTTGTGTTAGCGTTGAACAGGGCTTTTGTTTCCTGTGCACGCAACGGTTAGTTACCGATTACGGGCACCTATTTAACTTAAACACATGTTAATTTTATTTTACGCGGAACTGTAATTTACACTTTGTAGTAGATACCGGCACCATATGTTAGCAGAAAATCCCTCCTTTTTATGAATAATATATAACATAAATAGTGATAATTATAATAATGTATTGTCTGAGTCTGACCCCTACTTACTATACTAAGTTGTAACTAACCTACTTCCCACCAGCCTGTTTTTTACTTGTGTGAATCGCAGTGTAAGTGTTTGTCCGTTTTTTTGTTTTAATGTGTGCTGTCACTGTCTGAGTCTCCGATTGTAACTGACTCACAGAGCATGTTGAGAAAGTAGAAAGGTGAAAACAGGCATCCTTGGTGCAGAGCGGCAAGCATCACTTTAGAGGTCCTGGGTAGTTAGCATTCTTTGGATATTTTTTTCAGGGTATGGGAATGCTGGTGTGTTGAAAAATGAACAGGCAGATAAACTGGCTGGCTCCGCACCACCCAGTGGTGAATTGATGTATGTAATGATAAGCTAGATATTGTGAGGGCCCTTTGGGAACAGGTTAACAGTGCGTAGGTGCAGAAAGATCATTACCGTCTGAGGAGAATGACGCTGCAAGGAGTTACCAGGGGATCTGGCCGACGCTTAACACTCAGGGGAAGGATGAGACAGATATAGACTGTTACTGGTAGCATTGGAATTAGAACTGTTCGATTGCTGCTGAAGATGGTGACTGAGGACTCATGGGAGTGTCCTGAGTGCTGTGATGTTGATTCTTAATTGAAAATTCAACATTTTTTTTTGTCTAAAACTTCTAGATTATGGCATCGCAGATCATCTATCTAAATTAATCTGAAATTGCAGAAGACAGAAGGTTTTGGGTGATAGGATAGACATGACTGTCACACGGTATAAACTTTAACTTTAAAAATTTAGAATGTATTCTGTTTTTTTTTATATCATGTTGTGTTGTTATATACAGTTTTCAATATTGTCTTCAGATAAGAATAAATTATGGCTGAAAGTTCAGCTAAAGAAGCCAGCTATAGTATGAGTTTCGGAGGAGAGTCCGGCATGAGGGAGGAGTGTGGCTTATTTGGTGTGGTTTCCACAGGCAGCTGGACACCAGAGAACAACCTGTCACATATCCTTCATTTGGGTCTTGTTGGTCTGCAACACAGGTAGGAAACCTTTAACTAGAATGTAAACTGAATATACAGATGTAATCTGTTCCATGACTGCGCTCATACAATGAATAACTTGTATCCTAAATTTATACTCTCCATTAAAATTAATGTATGTAATTTTAATGCATTTGAGACTTTGCCCTGTTTCTCATCTCTCCACCTCAGTACAGGATTTTGCTTTATTCTGAGGCCCCCCAAAAAACTGGGCAGCCAGATCTTGTATCCAGGCACACTTGTATACCAAAGTTCCACTTTATATATTATGTTTACTTTTGGCAGCATCTGTAGGCACATCTGCCAGTGCACATGGGGTGATTACATGAGGAATCATGTGATGTAGTCTGGTTTCCTACATCGAAATAAATATGTTATCACAAGAGCAAGCATAAAATCACCAGACAAGCACTAAAATGTGAAATAAGCGATTGTGGAAGCAAGGATGTCTGGTAGAAAACCTTAAAACAAATGTTAAGGAGAGTTCAGTGGTGCTGGACTGGATTATATCAATAATATTGAAGGAATTGCAATCAGAACAGCATATCAAGTGGTTTGGCCATCTCATTACAATGCAGCATCATCAGATGCCAACACAGTTATTACATCTCAGAAGATCAGCTACAAGAGCCGTAAAAAAAGGAAGACTATAAAAAATTTTGATCGACTACATTAAAGATACTTGAAAGAATATGCCTTCACTGCATGACAATAGCCAGTGCCATCCAATTTGCACTAGATCACAAATTATCTGGAAATTTAGTAGGGTTTTTTATTCACGGGACAGCCCACTTTTCAAGGGGGTGGTAGATTATGTGTATAGTTTTAAAATATTGGTATTTCATTTGTTGTGCAGTTTTTTTGTTTTGTGCTGAACAGTTTTTTGTGTGTGGACTATGTGCAATCAGAAGTATGCCTTGTCACTTGGGGTACTTTAGGGGTGGCGCTGAAAAGGGCGAGCCTTCCAGCCATGCTCCTTGCCTTGATGGAATGTTCAGAAGACATGTCAACTTTCCACACTGCCATTGTTCATGGTTTTCAGTCAGCGATAACACCATTGCATGATTGTTGCCACAACGTCTGGTACTATGCAAAATGCCATGTTGTTGCAGAAACGCAACACTGCTCTTCTTAACATGTACCAATGCTGCTTATTCGAAGAAATTAATGGCAAAGGTGGAACACAAGTGGCTGCGACTCGCCGCTCGAAAAAAAAACACCCAAGACAAACCACCGAATGTAACCTTTTGCTTGGAAGAAAACTCGACGCACAAGGAAAAACTGATCTTAACACCCTTAAAATATTGGACTGTCCCATGACAGGATTTCCCAGTATTCGTATTCACTAAAAAATAAAGAAACTTTAGTAGTTTTTCCTTTTTCACAGAGGCCAAGAGAGTGCTGGTATGGTGACAACAAAAGGGGGACCTGAAGATGTTTTTATTACAAGAAAAGCCATGGGTCTTGTTAATGCAGCCTTCTCTGAAGATGACATTGCAAATTTGAAAGGAACTCTTGGAATAGGTAATGTGTTTTATGCCTGAATATTATGGTGATTTAATTTGTTTCTGTTCTTTATTTCTGGTTATCTGATTAACCACATCTCATTCATCACCTGTTTCTTTGGTTACATCATCCATCACATTGCTCACACGACCCATCTCATTTGTCACATCACTCATATTATTGGTTACAACACTTAGTTCATTGATCAAATCACCCATCTCATTGACCCTGCAAGTGAGAGGAGGTATTAGACAACACTGGTAACTTAAACTATCAGCAGTAGAAGAGGCAGACCAAGAAATATGATGCTGGAAGATGTAAGATAATGGGTTGGGGAATATCAGTAGAACTGGTGCGGACACCATAAAGAGTGCTTTGTGCTGAGACTTACACCCACGGCACTCGACTGTATGCACATTTGCATATATACATGTATTTTGTAAATAGATACATGACCTGGAAGTCTACAGCAGGATTTATTTTGGAGATGTGACTCAGTAAAATTCGGTTTGAGGTGAACCTGATGTGGACCAAGAACACGGTTAGGAGTTAACTTGAGATATTGAGACAAACTACACATAACTAAAGTTCTTCTTCTTCTTTCCTTCACTTGAAATGAATTATCTATATCTGCATTGCTGTCTCTAGTATGAACTTCACTGTCTTTTGTAATTCAATTAGCAGCCCGTAAAGTTTGGCTCAACCAGTGTTTCTCTAGGCCAGGTTTTGTCTGAAATCATTGTATTTGGGACAGTCTTGGAAGATGTGATTAGCTGTCTCAGATGCCAGTCCACAGGTACACATGGCTGATTCGCCAATCTTGAATTTTGTGTGCATGTGGCTGCGAAGTCAATTATGCCCTATTCTAAGGTGTAGAATAATGACTTTCTGTGGTCTGTCCATAATATGGTAATCGTCTTGTGCCACTTTCAGTGGTTTTCTGATTGATTTGAGTATTCTCTTCTTCTGATAAGAGTCTGGTACATCAGGTTTTTCTTCAGTTGCACCTTCCTTAGCTAGTTTATCAGCTCTTCCATTTCCAGGAACTCCACAGTGGGATGGTATCCATTGCATAAGTACCTTACATCGGCTGCCTAGTTAAGATATTAGTGTCCATATACTTGATAATTTTCCAGACTTTAGTGCCTGAAGTACCGCTTTTGCATCTTTCAGGAATACCATTGGTTGTGACAGTGTTAAGTAGTTTCTTTGCTGCTATCTAGATGGCTTGAACCTCTGTATCGTAGCTGTGACAGTGCTTTCCTATTGGTATTTTGGTTGTATCTCTGGTATTATAAGGATGCTCAATGTACACTCCTGCACCTCCATTTCTGATTGCATTTTCTGCTGACCCATCTGTGTAATCATGAACCCTAAGATTCTGCAGGTATTCATCAAGTAGACTAAAGGGTGACTGTTATACGTTGCCCGTTGTTTTGTTTTTCCTTGTCAAATACTCCTTTCACTTCTGTCTTGATGAGTACTGGAAATTTATACTCTTCTCTCCAGGGAGTACATTCTGGAAGAGCATTTAAGGAGCTGTCATTTGCAGGCAGATCAGTGGTTTGTCTGGAAAGCCGTTTATCCTGGTGGATAAAACTGCTTCTTTTTAGTCACCCCATAGCTAGATTTTGGAATTTTCCATTCATAGGATGGCCAGGCATGCTAAGAAACTTTTCTGCTCGTATAAGCATCTTAATGTGTCTGCGTTCACTCAGTGCTTGGGTCATCCCCATTTTCTCCTTTAGAGCTAAAGGTGTTGATTTCATACTGCCTGTTGAAATTCTGAGTGCTTGATTTTGCACTTTGTCTAACTCTAGTAGTGTGGTTTTTCATGCTGAACTCTATGCTATTGATCATATTCAAGGTGTGGTCAAACACTTAAGTTCTGAAACAAGAGCAAAGTTGAAATCTCGACCCCCCTCTCCACACACACACCTTACCGGAAGAAGATGTCTATAGTTTAGGCTGTTAGAAACACCAGAACTGTGCATTTTCTGTTGACACCCAAAATAGCAGTAAAGAAAACAATAGATGTCAGCCTGCCACTAACGTACTTTTTTAATGTGTTTATGAATGATTTGTCCCTAGGTCATGTTCGTTATTCCACACATGGTCTTTCTGAAGCAACCAACATACAGCCTTTTGTTGTGGAGAGTCTGCACGGTCTCATCGCAGTCGCACACAACGGAGAATTGGTCAATGCAAAAAACCTAAAACGGAAGGTACTGTTTTATACATTGACACATTTACATCTTTTATGTGTCTGTTTTCCCTCTGTAGGTTCTGAAGCCCCATTGTTGGGAGAACAAGAATAGATCTATTGCCTACTCAAAAACATGTCATAAGAGTCGACTAATTAGGAGCGTCTTCAAAGTCATGGTGCATCTGCTTGACAGACCAGGAACTGGCAGTCAGTATACACATGAGTCAGATCTGTAAAACAGATGTGCACACATCATTCATGTTTTGGAACAGGCCCAAAAGTGAATGAACAACCAGAACTTAGTGTGCTTTCATTTCTGTTGGTAAATCAATTAAGTGGCAACTCCACAAGGAAGGTTTGCTTCAGTGATCTCCAATACGCCGTGTCTTTCGCCATAAGTGTACACACAAGAAACTTTTATGGTATCCTCCCACTTACTTCACTGTCTACGTTATGCTGACTTTTATTCAGCTTTTCCATCTAAGATGTGTGTGTTTTTTTTGTTTTTGTTTTTTGTAAAAATGTCTTTTAAGATGGTCAACATATTTTTTTTTACTTATCTTTTTTTATAAAGTATTTTCTAAAGGGAATTTCCACATTACTCAGTTTTTTTTTTTTTTTTTACCATTGCCAGAACGGAAGAGTTAAAGAGGGTTCATTTTGCTGCATGGGGTTTTTATCCTGTAAGGTGCACACTTTGTGGAGTGACGTTTTTACCTGCTGAGCTTTGCACAAAGCATGAAACATTGGTAGTGCATTTTATCTCTGAGTGCTAGACTGTAACTACTGCCTGTATTTACCAACTTTTGGCGGTGTTATGGGGGATTAAAAGAAACATCTGTCACCTTATCGAAGAGTCAAACCTGGTTGCCCCAGTGTTCTTAACTGTTTAGCCAGTTGCTTCACTGAGTGATAATCAGTATTTATAATTTATATTTCCTGTCTGCAGTTACTGAAACATGGAGTGGGCTTGTCCAGTGGATCTGACAGTGAGCTTATTGTACAACTGCTGACACACATGCCTGACTGTGGAGAACCCAACGGAGCTAACTGGGTTGGCAGGTTAGTTGATTTTGTAACTGTAAATCTTTCTTCTTTAGAGTTAGGTGTAGTTTCCTGTCTTTTGCTAGTTGTATATATAGTTTATGTAAATATTATATTGCATTGTAACTTTCTGTTCTTATGTAGTATGTATTAGCTTCTGGCTTATTTTGCGCTGTAGCTAGCATTGCTTGTATGTAAGTGCACTGCTGCTATGCGAGTTCGATAGCTGTTACTGCTGATAAGTGGGCAGAACAACCACTACATTCATAATGTATTTTACTAATTTTATGGGTTTTGTGTGTGTTGTACTGTTGTTTTTATTTGTTTTGACAGTTTTGCTTGTCTCTCTCCTCCTGTGAAGAATTAAGAAAATGATGGAAGAGACAGTGGCATCCTACTCGCTGTTGATCATGCACAAAGATCATATCTGGGCAGTCAGAGATCCCTACGGCAATCGTCCTTTATGCATCGGCAAACTGCTGCCAACTGACGCTGTCACAGGTAAGCACATATTCTTTCTGCTATAAGGCTTGGAAGTTAAGGGTACTTCTGCCTTTCTTGTGTAATGTTATGAGTAAAAAAAATTTGCTTTCTTTAAAATTCTTCTTTGTTTTCTATTATATTTCAAGTTAATAACAAGAACAATATGTGCTTGGTGCTTAAAGGGGGAACACTATATTGGTTGTAACTTAAATTTTCTGTACGTATAGAGTGGTTACATTATTTTGTGTTTTCCGATGTTGCCTAGATTTATCTATTTTTATCATTCTTCTACATTTACCCTTAAAAGGTTGGTTGGCACATTGTGTTTGGGTTCAGGTTGTGATATCTGGTCTGTTTGACCCAGAACTTCCAATTTCAGCAAACCCCTAACTGGTTGTCTTTCACATCCTGCTTTTTTCTTCTTTTTAAAACTGGCTAGGATTAATTAAGTCTTGTAAAATTTTTCCTCCTAGTGCACGAGAAATTTGGTAATACAAAGTGCCACAACAAATTTAAAAAAAAAATAATAACAGCATATAGAATTGACAAGAGAGGTCTGAAGTGCTAGACTGTATTATTTCTATGATACTGTAACAAAAGCACTGGATAGAACTGAAAGGAAGAAAAAAACAATGGCCAGATCTGTGTGACTTATAATGGCACTATGATGAAAATAAATCAGTCAGGACCTTGTAGATGGTGTGGTCAGTATCACACTGATTGTCTTTTGACACCCCCCCCCCTCCTCCCCACAACAAACATGTGGTGAACGGTGACTAATTGCACCTGCATGAAAGGTGAACCAACAGTATGCATACATATAAGCCAGGTCTGTAAAATGGGTTAGCATGCAAACTGAGGTGTTCTTCTTGACATCCTCTTTTACCGCTTCGGGTGTCGAGGCAGTTATAAAGGTCCCGTTTCTTGCTCTTCTGACTGCTTCAACCATAGACACATCGTGGTCTTGTAGTCCTTTCACATTGCCATGGTCAAAAGATGTTTGATCAGTCTGTTTATATTCCCTTATTCCTTGTAAACTTAAGTTATGGAATAATTTTATAATCAGGGACAGACAACCAGGATTTTCTGTCGGAGTTTACATCTGGTGAACGCTAAGAATAAGAAAATATATACCCATATACATACATATGTATGAAAACACACGTTGGACATATTTTGTCTGTAGAGGATCTGAACGCCTTAAAAATATTTGGTAAAATTTACTACAACTTATACTTCTAGATCGTATTACTTGCAACAAACTTTGCCCTGTTGTACTGCATTTTTGCATATGTGAAAATAAGAATATTCCTGTCAGCTTACATAACTGCATATGGGGGTCTCTGTAAATGTGTTGGCTTATATTGCTGAATGTGTAAAAAAAATTGTGCTTGCAGTAAAAAAAATAACATATATTGGCTTGTTACTTACAGTAAAACTTTGATTAACCATCAATTTTTGTTATCCGCTCTCGTCAAAACACGTGTGGCAGACATACATCTTTTAAATTTTCCACGGATGACTTTTAGTCTGCTGTATAAAGCTGGAAGTGACTACTACTACTGTAAAATGGTGGAAGACATACATCTTTTAAATTTTCCACTGATGACTTTTAGTCTGCTGTATAAAGCTGGAAGTGACTACTGTAAAATGATGGAAGTGACTGATCACCGGCGGCGAAATAGTTGAGCTTGATCTGGCAGCCTACAGACCTCTCTCACTAACCAGTCACCATTGTGTTACATACTGGTCTTAGTCAAGACAGCATAAACTGTGTTCGAATGAATATTTTGTGTCATAGATTTCTGGTTAACTTTTTCAACATCAGATGATAGATTATTTTAAAGTAGCGTACATTTCTGTACATTGTTACTCTTATACTAAAATTTATAGTGATCGTTTGGTATATTTAAATACAATATGTGTTATTCCATTTTTAAGATTTTATTTTCATTTTCTTCCTAGCCCCGCAGTGAAATCACCATACTGTACATATGCATTTGAATGTATCTTTATCTGGCTGTTTAGTTATCTGTCGCAGCCTTAGTTCAGATGGTAACGCTTAAAGTTTTACTGTTCAGTGGTTTGGTAGCTGGGGGCCTTTTCTTGCCAGTGACACTGAGATTAAATTTGTCTTGTTTTTATTTGGCCTTTATGTGTGTGTTTAAATTTATATATAAATATATTTTGACTACAGGATTTTTGAAAGACTCAGGTAGGATTCCTTGTATTTGTTAACTGTTTCAGATTGTGACATCCGTCGTCTTGATGTTTTTTAATCCTGTCATTTTAGAGCTCTGACTCCTCAAACTACATCAGATAGTATAGTTGATCTTTAGTTTCAACAGACTATGCTTAAATTTGTATTTCCTTGCCTAACTGCAGTCATAGATTGGGACAGGATAAATAACTCTCTTAGTTCGGATAGTCATTTTAAAAAAAAAATATCTCTTTAATATGGAAAGTGTAAAAATTGATAGCATGCACTATTTGCAGTGGTATGCTAGAATTATTAATGTAGAGCTTTGAGAGAGAACTAAGCAAGCTCATCTTAGACCAAGAGGTAAAGACGCTAGCACTGGATAGGACACATTGAGAAAACAGAAGAACAGCATAACTAGAATGTCTTTGCATTGGAACCCACGGGGAATAGGAATAAAGGAAGGCCACTGAGAAGAGAGCAGGAAAATGAAGTTAGAAAGATGGGAAGAGCTCCATGTAATAGCTTATGAGAGAACGACTTGCCATGAGTTGATTGAGGGCCTATGCTCCATAAGGGGGCTAGAAAGACTTAAGAAGAGACTATTTGCAGTACGATTTTGTTGTGCAGAACTTAAAAAATGCAAATAGAAACAGAAGTGAAATGTCTATGATGAATCAAATGCAAGATAGCCTTTTGTCATGGCATGGAGGGATATCAGCACAAGAACTGATTGATGCATGCCGTTTTAAGATTGTAAATTGTGGGTGGTCATGATCAGAGATGCTAGGAGACATATATCACTTGATGAGGATAATGATACAGTTCATTGCTTTCCTTTTACGGCTCTTAATTCACTCCTTTTTTGCATTTTATTGTTGGAGATAATTGCTGTTTATCTTGTACTTTTTCTTTAAAAACTTTTTTTTATTGTCTTACCTAAGTTATGTTGTTTTAAATTATAATTGAAGTTCTGTGTACATTAATTAACTGATCGTGTGAAATGTTAACTCATTGATTAACAATCTGTGGATGTATTAACACAAAATAATTGTTATGACCAAACTAAATCCAGTGGCGAGTTGAACACTTTAATTGATTTAAAATTTTGAAGAAATAAAATGTTAAGCAGGTTTTTGGTTTGGTTCTTGTCATTAATAGGCACATGACTAATGTTTATCCATCGCTTGATTGTTGGCACCTTTCCCTAATGCTATACTGTGCTAAGAAATCACAGCCAAAGGCAGGTGTGAATAGCTAAACTCGCTGGCATCAAGAAGCCTTCCTCAGAGCATGGGATTTCAGGACCACTGTTGTCATCACATGTATTTAACATTTCTTCTCAGTCACACAACTCTTAACCTGTCTGCAGGCATTTTTGTCATTTGCCCCTATTCCTGTCCTGATTCTTACCCTCTACTGTCTATGGTATTCCATTACCATCAATCCCCCTCAACACCTGTATCGTTCATGTGATTTTGGCATCCTCCCATTTGTATCGCACCGATAGGCTAGTTTTTTTTCCCGGCCCTTTTCCCTAAAATTTCAAATAATCAACTTGTTCGGCAGTGGCTGATACTTGCACCTGAATCATCAGAGCTAGTCATCCATTAACAGTGTTCAGTTTGCTCAGTGGATGTTTACTAATTGATTAGAAGTGTTGTTTTAGTGTTGTCTGTGCGTGCATTAACTCAAACTAACGACCGCTAGCTGCTAATAGTAGCTTGGCATTTTATTGGCCATGACTTCACGCCATTAGCAACACTATGTATGTAATTGAAAGAGTGAGTCACACATAAATGTAAGACTATCAGAGCTTTTCAAATGCTTCAAGTAGTTGACAGGTGAATTTAACACTCTATTAGTTTTTTCTTTAAAAAAATTACCTTTAGTTAGAGAATGAAACACAAGCCATAACAGTCGCTTCACAAACTTTTAGTAGTTAAAAAGGTTAACATAACCTTAACTCGTCACACTTCACAAACCTTTTAGATAGTTAGAGAGTAACATATAAGCTCATCATACCTGTTGAGTTTAGTAGTTACAAAGTGAGTTAGACGTACACTTTAACTTTAACCCATTATGCTTCACAAATGTTTCATCTAGTTAGAAACTGAATCTGAAATAAGCATTGTATAGTTAGAAAGAGAATTGGACCAAAACTATAACTCATTGCTGAGTTTTGTAAAACATCTTGTAATTAGAAAAATCAAACACATGCCATAAATTATCACTATTTTAAAACACTTAGTTGAAAAGTAATTATAGGCCTTTTTTTTTGCCAGTGACCTGTCGGACATATGTTGGTAGCCTTAAATTGTTTTATACCAGTCAGACAGGGAAGTAAGCTTGGTCTATAATTATCACAGAGCTGGCCAAGTTAAGAATACTGAAGATCCAGGTTTGTATTCTTTGCCAGGGTAAAGAGTTAGTCTCTGTCTTGGTGAAGGTTATATATTGATGACTGCACTAGCGGTGTGACCCTGAATCTTCTAACTCAGTTTTCTGTTCTGCACGGCTCTACAAAGGGCTAGTATAGAGGCAGTAATGACAGTTTATAGCTTACCACAGCTTAAATACTCCATTTAGCTAGAAAAGTTAAACACAAGCCATAACATGTCTTAAATACTCCATTTAGCTAGAAAAGTTAAACACAAGCAATAACGTATCTTTTGTTGTTGAAATATTTGATATAGTTAGAATAGTTAATTAAACACAAGCTGTAACGTATCTTTTGTTGTTGAAATATTTGATATTGTTAGAATAGTTAATTAAACACAAGCTGTAACGTATCTTTTGTTGTTGAAATATTTGATATAGTTAGAATAGCTAATTAAACACAAGCTGTAACGTATCTTTTGTTGTTGAAATCGTAACATGTCTGGGACCTGCCATAGTGTAGCAGCCAAACCCTCACCTGCAGATCCAAATGGTGCCAAACTCCCCCCCCCCCCCCCCCCCCCCAAAAGAAATTTACATTGACTCCCCGGTCGACCCAGCCTTAAATTGGTACGATCTAAAAACCTGGGAAATAAAGATTGCCAATATGATCAAACCACCCACTAAATGCTGATTGGTCTATAAAATATAGGTTGTGCTGTATACACCAAGTACATATCAGTTTTATAAATACTTCCATTAGTCATCAAACCCTAACGTTTTAACAGAATTTCATAGCATCAGTTAATTTGAGAATTCTGGCTCAAATGTGGTCTCATTGTTTACTGGAAAAGCATATTTAAAAACATTTTAGTACAGTAAAAAATGTGTATGTATTCATTTATGTTTTAATGAAGCGATTTGTAAGTGTAGGTAGTAGATACATTAACCAGTTCCAGATTTTATCTAGTAATGCAGTGTGATTAATTCTATATTTGTTTAATGATAATAAAACAAAGCAATGTTTCCCCTTTGTAAATATGAATAAAGAAGACCCGAACAATAAATGGCACAATTTATTCCCAGGCAAGATGCAGCGAAATATGCCAGGTAATAATTGTGCAATCTCTTGTTCGTGTCTTCTTTATTCAGATAATTAAACAGTTATAAGTAGTGAAGATTATAAGATTATATTTGAAAAGTTAGTGGCTTTCATCTTTGCTTTTTAATAAAGACTCAGTAAAGTTCCATTTTCACTTTTGGCATGTAGTGCATGGCTCATAATTTATAGACCAGTCAGTGTTGCAAGTTTGATGCGCTTAACATCACATTGACCACCTGTGACCCCCACCCCATGACATAGTAGCAGAAGAGGGACCTGGCCAACTAGCACGAAGATGGGTACAGGATGTAAGCGACACCTTGGGTAGGGAAGTGCACAAGACAGGAGAACTGGCGAGAGACAAGTTTTTTTCCCAGACAGACTGGTGAGAGTGATGGTGATGGTCTGCAGAGCATCTGTCACTTGATGATGGTTTTTTTTAGTAAAATGTCCGCATGCGTGAAAATTTTTTTATTCCACAAAATTTAGCCCAAAGATGCAATTTAGGCGCATGACTCTAGATATTACACTGACATGGCTGAAGTAATCAGGAATTGCATTGCCCCAGGACTGTATGGACTTATTCATAAGTTGTTCCTGTTTGTTTTACAGGTAAAGCTCCAGTAGAGACTGATGATTGTGAAGCTTGGCTGGTGGCTTCAGAGTCCTGCACCTTCCATGCTTTGGGTGCCAGGTATGTGCGGGAGGTGCTGCCAGGTAGGATCTGTTTTCTTAACATCCACAGATTTTTGGTTTACTGTTTTGTTACACAGATGTCATGCTGTTGGATATTTGTGGGTATATAAGCCATTTTAAGTGGACATGCGAGGTCTGAAGAAAAGGGAACGAAAATAGTTACTCGTTTTGAAGTCTGAAACCATAATCTCTTTTAAAGCAGTCTCTAACAGGGTTCGTAGTGGACCGGGAAATCGGGAAATTACCGGGATTTTTTTCGTTGACCTTGAACCGGGATTTTTAGCTTATAAAAGACATTCCGACCTTCAAAAGCCGTGAATTTTGACCGCGGCAATGAAATCGTCAGAAATCCTGTGTTTTTCAGCACAGGCAATTTTAGGGGAGCCATTTGGCTAGTTTTTGGCTACTTTCGTTGTATGGTCGTTTCAGGTGTGAGGGCAGCTGATTATTGGCTATTTTCAGCCGAAATGGCTTGTTAAAGGCCAGGGAAGGGCGGGCTGTGTTGCAGATCATGAATACATGCAGACAGCAGCGGTGTGGCATGGGGCGGGAAGTAGCAGATTCCGTCTCGCGTGTGTGTGTGTGCGCCTTTGTTTCTAGCAAGTCCGGCAGAATGAACAGTATAAATCGTTTATGGCCGTGGTTTCTAGAAAGGATTACATTGGGAGATGGTGGGGCTCGGTTCAGTTGTATTTATAAATCGCCGTGGTAGGGGCTAAGCACGGCCTTCTCTATTAATTAGAGATGGCATTGGGGCTAAGCAAAGTGGCTGCAGCTGGATTTTCCAGTTCTATTTTTGGCCTGGATTTATCTTTACAGTGTGTTTGGCGATCAGTATTGTAATTCTCCGAGGTTCCCTCTTCTGTTGTCTCACCCCTCTCTCTCTCTCTTCCCTCCCTCTTTCACTCTTCTACCTATTGCTCCTTCCTTCCTGTCTCCTGCATTGTCTCTAACCCTCCCTTCTGATCTTCATCTTCTTCTCTTTCTCTCTATCTTTCCTTTTACTCTCTCATTTCCTGTCCCCCCTCCCCCTTTTTCCTATTTTATTTCTTGTTTAAATGTTTAGTAAATGTGCGGCTCCATAACTCTTCCTAGCAACTCAAGTACACAGGAAGTTGTATTGGGGGGGGGGGGGAAATTCTGTGTGAACATGGTGGATATTTTCTTTTGATGTTTGTTTTCCTAGCGGCCTTAATCTCTGTCCATCTCCCTTCCCGCCCCCTCACATTTTGTCCTACCTGTTCCTCACTATTTGCCTGTCTGTGTCACTGCTTTCCTCTCTCTCTTTCTCTTTGTATTTGCCACTCTCCCTCACTCCCTCCCTCTCTCTCTCTCTTTCTTTCTCCATACCTTCAGTTGGTGTAGAAGGTTATGTGTTGCCTAGTGCAGAACATTTCATGTCCACCATTCCCCCCTCCCACACATTAAATATATGTGTACTTTTAAAAACACATTTGCCGTCACCCCCCCCCCCCTTTTTCTCCTCCCACATTGATGACACCTAGGGGAGGGAGTGCACCCCTTCCTGCTACCTTCTTCCCTCTATATCTCATCTTATTTCTTACTCCCTTCTTTCTCTCCCTGTCTCATTCCCACTTTATTTTCTTAAACTTTATTCTCTCACCTCCTCTGTCTCACCCTTACGGCCTCAGCCTTCTACACCACTTTCCACCACCTCCTCTCTCCCCTCCTTTCTGTAATTGGAAAACCAGAAATAAAACTAAGTCCACTGCTGCCCTGACCTATTTATGTGTCTGACCTATTTATGTGTGCGGGTAAACTTCTCTATTTTCCACCAGTGGTGGGTTGGGATCCCCTGGACTTTTTTTGTCTTCATAAAATGACCTTGGCTCTCAGGTCACTAGCCTTAAGTGTAAGAAATTGAATTATTGTTGTCACACACAGATAGGACAAGCAAGGGGCAGTAGGGGTTAGCACTGTTGTTTTTGGACCACGGCCACATTCACATTGGGAGAGGGTAGGAACCAGAAACTCTTTCCTTTGATCTTCTACTATTCTCCCTTCTCTCTCCATTCTTCCTCTCTTCCTTTCCTTGCCCTTTCTCCTGTCCCATCTCTTCTTTGTCTCCTCTCCATCCTGTCTTTTCATTTTCTCTAGATTTCCCCTCTCTCATTCTCTCCCCCCCCCCCCCCATTTTTTTACTGGTTCATCTACGTATTTTTTTGCCTCATAACTATCTTTTCCTAGTGGTTGTGTCCACTATACTTGAAATTGGGGGGGGGGGGGTAGGTGGCTGTTTTTTTCTTTGATGTATCTTGTCTCCCTTCCTGCCCCTCTCTCTTAATCTGTGTTTGTCACTGCCTTCCTTACCCACCTCTCTCTCTCTCTCTCTCTCTTGCTTTATGTCTGTTTGCCTCCCTTCATCACTTCCTCTTTGTATACCTCCCTCCCAATCTCCTGCTCTGCCTTTTTTCTCTTTCTTTGGTTCTCTCCCTGTCTGCTTGCCTCTCTGTGCTGTCCCTTTGTCTCTCTCTCCTTTATGTCTACATCTCTCTCTGCTTGCATCTGCTTCTCACCCTGTCCGTTCTCTCTCCCTCTGTCTCCCTTCTTTCAACTCTTTGTCATATTTTCCTCCTTCCATATCTCTGTTTCGTTCCCTTTTTCCTTCTCTTTTCATCTGCCCATCTCTGTATCTGCATTCCCTCTTTCTGTATTTGTCTCCCTCTCTGTCTTTCGCTGTCCCTTCCCCACTTTTCCTCATCATGTCTCCATCCCTCCCTCTCATTTTTTTCCTCCTTCCCCAGACTTCTTTTCCTTCTTTTCTCTACCTTCATCTGTCCATCTTTACACTGTCTCTCCCAGCCTACCTCAGCATGTGTCTTCCTCTCTCTTCATGACTCTCTCTCTCTCCCCCTAACCCTCTCAGGTACCAGGTCCAGAACAGACAGGACTTCAGTTTGCTGCCCTCTACCACCAAGCCCTAAAAAAAAATTTCAAACACTATATCAAGCTCAGGGGCCGACCAACACGAAGATGGGCACAGGATATAAGTGACTCCTTGAGTATAAAAAAGTACATGAGGCGGGAGAGCTGGTGAGAGACCGAGGTTTTTTTGTCAGGACAAAGGAAATGCTACATGATGATGATATCTGTGCTGGTATACCAACACATGTGGCACAAATGAAGTACCCTGGGCACAAATGAAGTACCCTGTGTGCTCAGTACACCCTTGAACAAGGCAAAAATCTTGTTTCAGTATTACACCGAGACAACCTTGAAAAAGACCTTGAAAAGCCTTGAAATTGATTGGTAAATTTGGCTATGAACCCTGCTCTAAGACCTCATATTTTTCAACAAGCCCACCATTGTTAGAAACATTCCAGATGGCCCTGCTGTTGTTAAAAGTATTCCAGGAAGTCATCTCCCTGCTGTCCTGCCATTGTTGGAAGTATTTCTTGAAATCACTCACCGAGCTGTCCTACCATTGTTTTCTGGAATCTATCTGGAGTTGGTGGAATTAAGGGGTCACTAAACCACTTTTTTTTCTTCAATTTATGACAAAAAACACCAATTTTTAATGTGTTTTTGTAAAGTTCGGCATTTGTAGAATAGATTATACTCACAGTTTATGTCATTTGTAAACAGTTTGGCATTGAAAAGTTAATACTAGAGACAACCACCCCATGTATTTTTCTTAAGGATAAAGTAGAAGGCAAAACCTATGTTGCTGGTGCATTTAATTGTTACATTGTTTGTGACATTTTCTATGTACTTGCTACACAAAATAAAAAAAACTGAAAGAACACTTTCTTTCTATATTAATTATATATTATGTGACTTTAAAAGTCAGTTTTCTCACAATTCTATTTTTCTGTTGAATGTTTAAAATCTAAAATCTGAGCTAATATAAAGACTAGAAACATGAAATTTGTTGTGGATACTCCTTAAGCAATATTATTTCTCTAGGTCTATTTAAAGCACATGTTATTTAGTCATAAAAAAATTTGATTATTGCCTTAGGACGCGATTTTAAAAAAAAAGTTTTTCACCAAACCTACATTTTAAAATTCTAAGATAAATATTTAGAAACACCTTTAAAGTAAATATACCTGTAGCTCAACGTAAGATTAAAGTTCATGAATTAAACATCTATTTCTCAGTACCTGTTTTTTTTTTTTAATTTTAGGAGGTAATTAAGTACATGGTTTTTTTTTAAAATAAAGATGGCGGCTGTTGCTATGGCAACTATGATTTTTTTAAACAATGTATTAACATACTGGTAGCAGGGGCAGACCAAGAGAGATAGTGCAGTTAAATTGATTCAGAATACCAAGGGCAGGTCTGTAGTGGGACTTAAGCACCTACGCAGCTGGGCAGGGTACATGATGATTGATAACACCTCACACCCGATTGGCAGTTTGTGTGTTTATGTATGCAATAGGACTACGTTGAATAAGTTTTTTTTTTTGGGGGGGGGGGGCTGTTGTTTTAAATACAGTTAGCACTTGTGTATAGTTCCATATTACCCTTTTTATTTTTGTTTCAACAGGAGAAATAGTGGAGATCAACAAAAACGGGATATTTTCTCGGTGTATAGTTCCCAGGGCGGAATCAAAACCTCCTGCGTTTTGTATCTTTGAGTATGTTTACTTTGCTAGGCCAGATACTGTGTTTGAAGGTGAGTTATCATTTTGCTTGTTATTAATAGGTCTTGTATAGGAGGTGGCTTGTGAATTACAGGTGGCATTGCTGTGCTACCTTGAGCATGAACAATGGTGTTAAGGTTTTTGTAGGCATGGCTTTTAGCGCTGTTTGGCTGTTTTTGATCATGGCTCTAGTGCGGTTTGTGGGCAAGACTTCTTCTTCATGTTCACCGCCTGTAAACTCCAGCAGAAGGTTCTTGTTCGTTCACTTCTGGACTAGATGTTTTACAGATCTGGCTAATTTGTATGCACATTGTTTGTTTCCTGCCCATGAGCAAGACTTTTGATGTTTGTGGGCAAGACTAATGATATTTGTTTTTGTGTATGTGGGCAAGAATGATGCTGTTTTGTGTTTCATGGGGCAAGACTGATGATGTTTTGTTGCTCGTGGGGCAAGATTGATGTTGGTGGGCAAAATTTTTAATTTGCTGTTTGTCGGCAAGACTAATGATGTTTTCCTGTTGGTGTGCAGGACTGATGATATTTTGCTGTTGATGGGCAAAACAGATAATATTTATGACAAAACTGCTGTTTATGAGCCAGACTAATGTTGTTTTGGGCTAATACTGTTAGTGGGTACAGGGCTATTTAGTGATTATGACTTGTTCTAAAAGTGACAGTATCCTGTGAGCATGGAATACTATACAGTATATTTTGTGATATTTCGTTCAGATTTAAGTTTTTTTTAACTCTGTGTCTTGTGAATATTCAGGTCAGATGGTATCTAGTGTGCGGAGGCGCTGTGGGCGACAGTTAGCAGAAGAGTGGCCTGTGGATGTTGACCTGGTCAGCACAGTACCTGAGTCGGCCACCCCTGCAGCTATGGAGTATGCAAATGCAGTAAGTGCTAATAGGCCTCTTAATTTGACCTTATGTGCTTTAATAATGTGATAATTGATGATTGTTACCATTACCAGTGTGGTAGTTTAGTGGCTGTACATCGCATGATGGCCGGAGTTCAAAGTCTTGGGTTCAAATGTCTGATTCTTTTCAAATTTGGCCCTGGCTCCCAGGTCAGCTGAGCCTAAAATGGATACCTGGTAATGTCTTGTTAAGTAAAGATGATGTTGATTACTTCACTTATTGAGTAGTAAAGGTGATGTTGATTACTTCACCTATTGAGTAGTAAAAGGTTATGTTGATTACTTCACCTATTGAGTAGTAAAAGGTTTTGTTGATTACTTCACCTTTTGACTAGTAAAAGTGATGCTGATTACCTCACCTATTGAGTAGTAAAGGTGATGTTGATTACTTCACCTTTTGAGTAGTAAAGGTGATGCTGATTACTTCACCCATTGAGTTCTGATTAGCTGTAAGAATGAGCCCACTGAGGTGAAATGGGTCCTTACTTGTTGCCTTTACCTTTTGTGACTGTTACTGACTAGTTGTTTCTGCTGCTGTTTCTATTATCTGTTGCATGGGTTATAGTTTATTGGTTTTGTTGACATCTAGACCAGTGTTTCCCAACTATTTTGATTAGTGGAGCCCTTTTAGAATTACCCTGGCTTCCAGTTTGATCCTGCCTTAAAGGGGTATCAAGTAGAGTCCTGGAATGTAAAGGCAGCGGCATGATGTTGACACCCCCACCTAAAATGCCAATGGGTTTATAAATTATAGGTCTATCTATATGCCTAAAAGCATGGAAAAGGGTCCTTTACTTACCGTTGCTAAATGTTTTTATAGAGACATCAAGACCTAATTATATCCATGGAGTCATCCAGCCTAAGCCTATCTGTGAAAACACAGATGGTTTAATACATCTGTTGAAACATCATGAGGAGCCACTGACAGAGTGGTTAGGACACTGGGCTCTCATGCAGGAGGCCTAGGTCTGAATTCTGGGTAAGGTGATGTATGAAGAAGACTCATCACAACACGTGTGGACTGACTGTGATCGTGGCTTTTTGTGGTGGGTTATATGTGTTATTTCATTGTCAGAAGTCCAGATGGTGTCAAAATTACATTTTTATCTGTCTTGTTTTGTGTCCTCTTAACCAGCTAAACATTCCCTACCTGGAGGTTTTGTGCAAGAATCGGTATGTTGGGCGTACGTTCATTCAACCCTGTACCCGTTTGAGAAGACTTGGGGTCATCAAGAAGTTTGGACCTTTGATTGACAACTTCTTTGGCAAAAAGATCGTATTAATTGATGATTCCATTGTCAGAGGCAACACTGTAACTGCAATAGTAGCACTGCTCAAAAGATGTGGAGCTAAAGAGGTGAGTCAGAGATGGATGCAGTATTTTTGTTTCTCTTGCACAGTGATACCTCACTCGTTTCAGAATCACATACTAGCCAAGACAGTATTAATCATAAATCAGTGTGAAAATTAGGCTGCCGTGCAGTTATGTTACATTAGCGCAGTCATCCACTAAAAATATTTGTTAGCCCAAGCTTTGAAAACAAAAACCTTGAAAGATTTATCTTTGTCAACCAAAATATGTGTCAGCTGGGTCACTCATTAAATGAGGTGTCACTGTATAGTATTAGTGGTTGTTTAGTTTTATAGTTTGATTGTATTGTTTAGTGTTAACATTGTTGTTTAGTGATTTTTTTTACTTGATTAGTATTTTAGTTTGAACATCTGAATCCTGGACAGTTAATGAGGAATTCATACCATTTCTTGAGGCCTCATAGATATAGTTTTACAAAAGAAGGCTTGCAATTCTTTACACAGCCAAAATGAGTAACCCAGAAGTTTTTAGATTGGTGAGGGTCCGAAGACAACTTATCACAAACATCAGAGACATCATCAGTTTTTGGCCACGTTATGAGGGGAGGAAAACGAGAACATTTTGTGACCGCTGGATAGGTGTGTTGAAAGAGAGATTAAATAGAGGAAGACAGAAAGAGAATATTTCTAACAGCCAGTTGTCACAGCCTAGAGTAGTGCCAACTGATACATGCTGTTGGAGGCAGCAGCTTGTGGAAAGGCATGATCACCCACCTTAGTCGGCAAGACTCTTGATAAAGATTTTCTAGCATTATATTGCCATGTAGTTGTTTGAAGAGGGTTGGCTAGTAAAGACAATAAAACAAAGAAAATTGAAATATTTTGGTCACTTGAAACGTCATGGAAGTCTAGAGAGAACAATAATGGAGGGGTATATGCCTGGGAAGAGAGGAAGAGGAAGGCCAAGGAGAAGATGGGTGCAGGATGTGGCAGATGATCTCCAGATGGGTGTATCAGACGCAGGACATCTCAGGATAGGAAGGTTTTCCGGAGGGTTGTTATGGCAGCGAGGTTCCGCGAGGGACATGCTACTGAATGAATGAATGAGTTGTTTGGTCTTGTGTTATTTCTTGTATGTGTAATCAGTCCAAAACTTTATAAACAGAAAGTCATGATAGTGACCCTGGTAAGACAGGCTGTTGCTTCTGAGAGTGTTTGGATTTGTTCTCTAGTTATAAAGGATTCACTTATTTGCTTACTTCTATATAATTGTTACTGTAGTAAGCACCTGATGAGATACAGTGAAATATGCCCGGCAGTAAATTGTGCAGTCTGTTGGTTGGGCCTTCCACATTGCTTTGACTTTTATGTGTTTAGTCCTGTAATTGTTTGAGCAATGTGCAGAATATTTTACCTTGTAGCTGTTTTGTCTTTGTTCTTTTAAATATTTCTAGCCTATTTGTTCTTAAAGCATTTTTCAGCATTATGTAACCCTGTCTGTAGAAATGAATAAACATCACCTGTTGCTACTTGAACAGGTTCACATCAGAGTAGCCTCTCCCCCTGTCAAATACCCCTGCTACATGGGCATCAACATCCCAACTGTGGAGGAGCTCATTGCAAACAGGGTACCCATGGACAAGATTGCAGAAGAATTTGGTATGTCAGATCACTTTTTCGTCATTTCTCATCTGTCTCCTTCATCTTGCTCTGCTTCTTGTTTTTGTTTTATTGTTCGCCCTCCTCTTCTTCTCTCCTTCATCTTATTTTTTCCCCCTCCTTTACCCTCCCTTAATCTTCTGCTTTTATTTCTTTTTCTACTTTCTGTTCCTCTTCAGTGTCTTCTTTATCTTTGACTTCTGCATGGTTTGTTCTCTTCTTTTCCTTCGCTTCATCGTCTGCTTTTTTTTTTACCCCTTCATCTTCTTGTTTTTCCCTTTCTATATCTTCTGCTTTTTCAATTTTTCTCCCAAATCATCCTTTCATCTTCTGATATTTTTATTTTTTTGACTTCCTCATTTACAATTCTTCCGTCTCTATCTTATTTTTTTTCATTGTATGTTTCTTTACCCCCTTCAGCCTCTGCTTCTTCTCCATCTGATTATTTCTTCTTCTTCTCATTCTTTAATCATCTATTTCTTCCCTGTATCATACCACTTGGAGCATAAAATCTTGGCGGAATCATACCATGTTGTATCTGCCTTATTTTGCAGCAGCCTATATTACAGTTTGTGTAAAAATCTTATGTATTGTACACATTTGTGTATAATATACCTGCTGGATTTACTGCAATGGTTTGCTGAATGAATCAGTCAAGATTTGACATCATTACATTAGGACTCTCCCACACATGATTTGTTCCCTTTTGTTGTGCTTATGTCACCTGTTTAAAAGTACACCTGTCTCTCTTTTCCCCCACTCCTTTTTCATATTGAATTGAACATTGGCCAGAGCCTCTGCTTACTTTCCATTGAATCATCTCTCTAGGTATAGATCTGTCTTGTTGCACTGTCCACTTGATCTCAGAGAGCTTTCACAGTGTCCACTTTATTATAAAAGTAGCCACTGGCAGATGCGCAGCAGCAGTCAGTCTATTAGCCTACTTATTACCTTCAGCACCTGAATAAAAATACTTGATGTTCAAATACACATTTGAGTATTTAAAAAAGAAACGCAAAAAAAAAAAAAGAGACAGAGAGAGAGAAAACAAGTGCATGCCCAAGGAGAAAATGGATTGATGACATTAAATACTTTGTACATCCGCGTGAAACAGCAATAGTCAGTGTTACCTTTCAAGCAGCAGATTCCGCCCCTCTTAACAGTGAAAGTGGAAATTGATGGCAGATATCTCCACAATACCTGAATGTCAGATATTATAAGGCGTCATGTTAGCCAGACTTTGGTTATTTCCTCCTTCTGCATTTGCCTTCAACAGGGCAGTTGGTACATTGTCTTGTAGTTTACAGCTAGGCTCAGATAACTGCACCTTTCAACCCAGCACATCAGATTTCCTAATTAGTCACTTTTTTTTACGACAGGCTTGTTGGGGAGAAGTGGGTCTGTTCTTATTTTAATCTCAGGATCTTGTCTGTACAGGTGCCGACAGTGTGAAATACCTGTCTCTGGAGGGACTGAAGAAAGCTGTTAGTGAGGGAACCAAGGACGCAGCCTATGAAGTGGGTCACTGCACAGCATGCTTGAGTGGGGAGTACCCGGTGAAAAAGTTGGACTGGTAGCGAAAATGTTGGGCCTGACTGTTGAACAATTCTTTGTGATTTTTGCTGCTTTTATCACTGTCTTGTTGTATTGTTTGTAATGAGTGAAATCGTATAGGTATTTTCTAATACAGAAATTATGCATTTATCATTAAACCAATTGATTTGTGCATTGAAATTTTATACATTCATTTTTGCTACCTCCATTCTGTAAAAGACAGAATTACTGTGTTTTCCATTTATAAGATGGTATGTTTTTTATATCAGTTGTCCCCATGTGGGATGCAATTTTTCATTATTTGAAGCCCCACACTAGTTTTTGCCGGGGGCCAGGAATATGGCTATGACAGCTGAAAGGGGTTTCTGGGACCTCTTCACGAGTGATACTCATCCGTGTCGTGGCACTTTTGTGTCGAGGGTGTTTGTCGCTTGTGTGATGTCATGGTGGGGTACAACAAGAGAGAGGTGGTATGTTTTTCTACATTTGTTTCAGCTTAAAACTGGCGTTGTCTTACACCTGGAATGTGTTTTAATTGTTTATCTTTATTTTTGGGCTAAAAACGTAAAGTGGGGCATCCTATACACAGAAAAATATGATACCTTCGTTCTTCATTACCCACACTTCTGTTTGCACAACTCTCTAGGATTTAACTGTCTAGGATTTGTTAACTCTCTAGGATTTGTTAACATGGCACAATAATTCGTTTGGTACTGAGAGACACATGACATGTTGATTTATAACTGTTTTATCCGTACTTTGGCCCTGAAAGCTTGGGAGCTTCTGGTGTGGTTACTTATTAATGCATTATTTTGCTGTGTTTACTTCCTTCTGTGTGTTTCTACTGTCATTGCACATTAATTGCAGGAGTTAGAGTAGCACAGTGGCTAGCGACCTGGTGGTTGTTTGTTCAAATCCTGCTTGACCTGGTATCTGAGCTTCCAGATGAGGGGTATCAGGACATGTCCTGGAAAATGAGATGAACATTTAAAGGGATACATTCACAAAAGGTGAAGAAATAAGAGAATACCTGGACAACCACTATCTACAGTGATAAGACAAGGAACATGACAGTATGTCGAGAAAGGTAGGTGAAGAATCACTTAACAAGTTCTAAAGTGAGGACTTCCGAGAGATACCTTAAAACAAATTTTGTTGAGAGAGGGCAAAGGTGCTGGACTGGGTTCCATTGATGCTATCATAAGGATTGCCCAGGTTAGGACACAATGGATGAATAGCCCGAGTGCCCTATGTAAGGTATGATGATGCTGATATTGACCAAATGACCTGTTGAGTCATTGGTCTGATTAATATGTCCCTCTGAGCAGAGTCATCTTAACAACATTATGGGTCTCTGGTGTAATGGAACATCCATTATTTTTGTTTTGTTTTACAACACTGGCACATTTGTCCTGGACTTTACTGTCGGTACACATTAATTACTGGTTTTCCTGTCATTACACGTCAATAGTAGGTTTTACTGTCATTACTAGTTGTCGCTTTTACCATCATAACACACGGGTCTTAGGTATTTCCTGTCATTACAAGTGAGTAGTAGGTTTTACTCTCATTACCATTTGTAGATTTTACTGTCATTAAACATTAGTTCCCAGATGATATTATCATTATACATTAATTCTCATTTCATGGTCATTACACGTCTGTTTTATATTTTGCTGGTGTTACGCGTGTGTTCTAGATTTCACTGAGATTACACATTTCTTCTGGTTGTTGTTGCAGGTGTTCTAGATTTTACTGCAGTTAAGACACAAGAGTCCAAGATTTGACTGTCTTTGCGTGAGAGTCCTAGATTTCATTGTCATAACACTTCAGATTTGACTGTCATTTCATGAGAGTCCTAGATTTTACTGTCATCTTACATGAGTTCTAGCTATCATTGAACACTGTAGGGCAGACACATTGGATTGATCATCATCAGTATGTATTACTGATATTAACAGAATTGTACCTAGCTCAATGAAGTGATGTTAATATTTTCTTAACATGAATCTCAAGGTTTCTCAGTGTGGAGAAGGAAAGATTTACTTTTGTGTGTGGCAAAGGAGGAGGTTTGTGCATGGCTAAATGCAGCTGTTTGTAATTACATACCACAAGCCAAGAGGTGTTCATTGATACAATTTGTCTGTTTTATACAGTACATTTTATATTTGCGTTATTGTCAGGGTTTTAACTGCTTGAATCTCACAGAGATTTGTATATATTTGTGTAAGTGATGTTCTAATGGATATGATGTTATTGGTTAAGTCATTAAGAAGTGAACCCTGATTGTGAAAGTTTTTTTTTTTTTAGGTAAATGCAGTCTATACCATTAACCTCCACATAATAACAAACAATCAAAAAATATGTCCATGTGTTATTCTGGAAGATGTAGAGACAAAGAAGATGAATAAACATATATTTTTCGTATAAATTTAAAAGTGTATACATTATTAACACAGATCAGAAAATCTCACCTTGGTTGCCATGGGGCGGTTTGTGTAAAGGTGACACTATACATTTTCTTTTTAAACCTAAATATTACCAGTCAGACAGCACTTCATAAAGAAACATTCTCATACACAGACAAACACACACAGGACATGTGAGTTGAGTAGACTTGAAATATAATGGAGCCGTCAGCTCAGATCAGGAGCATATTGTCTGGGAGACTCGGGTGTGTGAGGTAATGAGCGGGCTCATAGATTAGATTAGCTTCTATTGCTCCTCGTGGCAGTGAGCTACTTTGTGATAAAAGTTAATGGGGTGGAAGCTCTCTGTGATCAAGCAGACACTGCAAGGGAACAGACAGAGCATACTTTGAAAGACTTATTTGGCAAGCATGTCATAAAGGACAGTCTCTTTGTGTGGGTTCTGGGATCTTTGGGCAAGAGGGGAGGGTATAGATGGACCCATTTGCCTGTGGCAAGCATGTCATAAAATGTATGGGTTCCGGGGCTCCATTTTTGGAGAAAAAGAATAGAGCCGCTGCCCCTTTAACAAGCATGTTGTATACAGCGACTAATTAGAGCCAGAGGGCATCTGCCTGAGAGACGAGGAGCCAACAGTCTGCATACATATAAGCCGGATCTGGAAAGTGGATATGCACACAAAACTCTGGAACAAGACTAAATTCCAGAAGTGGATGACCAACTAGACTTTCCACCAGAGTTTACAGCAGCAAACACTAAGAAGAAGGAGACCAATTAGGCATTCAATGTGTTGGGCCAAAAGGAGCAGATATTGCACCTAGCTTTAACAACACAATGTACCAACCACCCTTTTAAGGGTGAATAAAAAAAAGAAGGAAAAAAGCCCTTTTCACACCTTTAGGCGTATCGGGCATTTGGGAAGAGCGCCCATATTTTTTACTGACCATCAGCACTCGGTGGGTAATGTGGTCAGCATTACGCCGGCTGTCTTCACTTTCCCAGGACAGCCCATCCTGGCACCCATTTTAGGTTGGGTCGACCTGCGACGCCCCGTACCATGATAAAAATCCATGCAGCCAGTAGTGGGTTTCGATCGCGGTACGCTGGGTTACGAGTCGGACTCGCAACGCCTAAGCCACGGACGCCGCTCTATTTAAGGGTGAATACAGAAGAAAAATCAAGACAAATTTGTATAGTTGACTGCATCAGCAGGTCGACCCAGCCTAAAATTGGTGCCAGGAAATTGCATGGAAAGTAATGATGGCTAGCATGATATTGATGACCATATCACCCATCAAATGCTGATTAACATTATTCTGGCACCATATACCAGTCTTAACCTGTGCCTGTGCAGAATGGAGGGAGTTAAATGGTATGATCGAATGACTAATGTTGAGCTTTGGGAGAGAACCAAATGTTTCAGTGGACCACAAGGTAAAGAAAAGGTGCTGGATAGGACATACTTTAAGAAAACCTGAGAACAATATAACTAGTATGTTTTTTTTCACTGGAACCCACAGGGCATAGAAATTAAGGAAGACCTAAAAAAACATGGAGAATGGAGTTAGAGAGAAGTTAAAAAGATAGGGGAGAGCTGCATGCGATAGCAAAGGATAAATTGACTTGCTGCGAGTTGATTAAGGGCCTTTGCTCCATTACGGGTTAGAAAGACAGAAGAAGAATGTGCCAATGGTGTGAAAGGAGTCCTTAACTTTATTAAGCTGAGATAGAGTGGAGTAAACCAACCTCCTCACATAAGAGCTACATGCCACTGTATTCAGACTGCAAGCTGGATACAAGACTTCACAGCTATATGTACAAGATAAGAAACAGATCTTCACCCATGTGGACAGGCACCACAGTTAACATTCCAGTGAAAACCCATGCTGTATGGATGGATCATTGCAGGACACGTGTCTGCACCACTAACTTCTTGGAGGCCTGTGGCCTCCTCATCTGAAAAACCTCTGGACATAAATGAAAAGACTGCAGCGATGATAAATGATTGTTTTCTGTGAAGCTGTTCTTTTTATACTGAATGCCTTACATTTTTGTGTGTGTTTGTAAATATTGTTGAACAAGTCTAGACTCTACGATGTTTATTAAAATTCCATGACTATATTTGTGATTTATGGTGTTTTGAAAGTGACAAGTAACTAGGGGTATTTTCTTTGAAGTCAGAGTGCATCTGATTTGAGGGTTGAGGAAATAGAAATAATCCACATGTGTAAATGGATATGCACGCAAAAGTTAAGCCTCTTGGTGTATGTCTTGTGTGTTACTTTATGCTACCAGTGTTATGGATCCTGACTGCAGCTACAGAGTGCAAAATCATAACAGAGATTACATGTCTTAGCAGAGCTGTTGGAGTAATAAGAAAGTTCTGGTTGTTCATCCACTGCTGGACTGCAGTCCTGTTCCAGAACCTGAGTGTTGCGTGTGCATTCGTCTGACTAATGTGTATGGACACAGTTGGTTCCTTGACTCGGGCAGATGCACGGAAGCTCTCAATTAGTCGACTCTTACGGGTAGGTAGTGGGTTAATTCTTGTTTTCCCTATAATAGTGCCCCGGAACCCACATGGGGATTTTTAATATTTTAAGTCACTATTTTGTGCAAAGGTAGTTTTAAATAAAGGGAAGTAATCACTAAATACAAATGCAGCTAAGAAATAACTGCTTTCCTTCAATCGACCCCCTAAACAAAACAAAAACAGGAGTTTGGTTGACACAGCCATAGAGAGCCAAGTAACGTCATCATAAGTTTATTATAACCCCACAATAACAAATAAAATTGATTTTTTTTTCCTACAATATGCAGTTGCAGCGAGTCCTGATATTGTTATATATATTTGGCCCAATAAGGGATGCACATTTTTTTTTAAAGCCCCAGCCCGGCTGTCGCCAGGAGCCCTAAAAAAAATGCCAATTACTGAGTCCTAAATATAACCTAATTGTTGAACGGGGTTTCTGGGACACTTATGCCTGGGTGATTCTCACCCGAATGGTGGCACTTTGTGTCACCGGGTGTATTTTGTTGGTTGTGCAGTCCTGGTGGGGTTGAACATCAGTCAGTCGTTATGCAACTCTGGCCATTGCTGAAAGATGTCATGTCATCAAAAACACATCTTTCTCTGAGAGAAACGGTCAACCAACAATGAAGAACTAGAAAGGATATAAAAGGACTTGGCTTCCTAACTCCATTGGGAGAATGGAACCTGAGAAAGGCCAATTTAGAACAACAAATACCAGAAATAGGTAGACAACAAATCAAATGGTTTGGCCATGTAATAACATTAGCATCAGACAGGGCACCACAGACAGCAATGTTATACAGATAAAGCCGTAACAGAGCCAGAGGTTGACCACTGCAGAAATATCTGAGATACTGAAAAGTACTTTATATGAAGCGAACAGAAGGTTCCTAAGATCTCTTCCTGCCTTGAGGCATTCCAGGAGCAGAGAAAAAAAAGAATATCCTAAAGTAGATGGATGTGTCAGCCAGAGGTCCTACATATGTTTGTGAAGACAAGCAATACAAGTGGACAGATAATTAGAGAAAAAAATATATGAACTTAACCCCACAATCATGATTTAATTTAGACTAGATAAATTTATCATAGTAATAATCTGTTGTTAAACCCTTTAGCAAATCTTTTGCAGAACTTGCTGTCATCATTGCCTGCCTTTATTGAAAGTAAGTGTCACCAACCTCTAATTGACCGTGATGGTATGTGGCTCGCTGTGTGGGCCTGTGACAGACGATCTAACCTAAAACACACTGAAACCAGACACCCACGGAGCACACATGACAAAGAGGGTTCTGGTACTAAGACTAGTCAGATCCCCCGCTTGGTATACTTTCCTACCCAAGGTGTCGCATATAATTTGTTCCCAGCCTCGTTTTGGTCTGTCGCTGCTCCTCTTTCCTGTTACCATACACTTTGCTATTATTCTTGCCAGTCCACTGTGGCCAAAATATTTCAGTTACCAAGACAAGACGCTGTTTACCAGCCCCTCTTTTCCAAGGAATTCTTTGAGGAAATTTGTATGGGTTCATGACCCATTTTTTTAGCGCTCCCCGAGAAAGAGTTAACTATCCTCTGATCTAAGCATTCTGTCACCATAAAGATCCCATACACGCTGCACACTTTTACACATTATCAAAGAAGGCAGGCATTTGCCATATAGATCATCAACAACACTAAAATAATCTTCAAGTCAGTGGCCATGAGTAGAAACGGTGGACTGGGCTTCACTGAAAGCATAGGGGGGAGAAGGATGACTGAGAAGAGCTTGGCATATGGCATTACCTCATCCAGCATGAGAATGGAGACTGAGGGGATAAATGCTGCATTCTGATAGGTGGAGACAATCTCAGCCACACATATTGTCATGGTATTGGATTTGCAAAGCCTGCTCCGGAGGGTGAATGGAGGCAGATTTTCTTTAAACGTAATGGGTCATATCAATCTAGAAGTCAAAGGTGATGAGAGTCACACGGATATTTTGACCGGGCCTTTCAGATATCTTTGGGAATGAGCAGGAAGATAGGGTTTTCCTGGGCTGGCCCCACTCGGGGGGTGTACTGTGACTGCACAAGGCAGACTTGATCCTTCACCTGAGTAGTTAACCAGATGACAACAGGTAACATCAGTGTGGACACTTTTCGCTGGCTGTTGACAAGGAAGATGGAATAATATAGGCTTGTCCTGAATGCTGTTATGTCGAATCTTTACCCAGATGCACCGAGATATAATTGTAGTAGAGGTCCACCCATTTCTAACGCTGGTAGCATACTAAGGTCAAGTAAAAGACCTTTTCCCCATGAATTCAGATGTAATAAGCATATAGTAGACCTATATTTTATAGACCAGTCGGCACTCGGTGGACAACCCAGCTGCTTCAACTTCTCAGAACTTTATGAGGTACCCATTTAAGGCTGGGTCGACCTGGCGGTCATGGTCATTTTTGAAAAAAGTCAAGTCTTTGCCAGAACCTGAACCCACTACCTTCAGATCCACAGGCAAGCATCTAGTCGCTACACCATGGTGGCTCCCACTGGTAGCATAGGTTTGGCCCAAAATCAAGTTCTTATTAAATTTACCATAAATCTCAAAAATTAAAAAATAATAAATCATGTTCAACTCAGAGCCACCTCAATAGCATTATGGGCCCCTGGGCAAACCAATGTGCCTGACGATCACTAACATGAATGAAATATTTATTTACTCGACATGCACAGATTAGCATGGTGCACTCAGGTCAGTGCACAGCATGGGTCCCTCAGGTCAGTGACCCGCATGGGGCCCTCAGGTCAGTGTTAAGACAGCGCTGGTTCAACTCAAAAAAGAAAAAACACACAAATGTACATGACATTGGTTCGATAATCAAATTTTAAAAAAGTTACATCAGGAATGTGCTTCATCTCACAGATCATTAATTTCCCAAGAAAATCAATCGTACCAGCTGAAATCTATTGTTTCAGTAACTTAAAAAACATCCCACATTCAAAACTTAATCTTTACAATAATTATGCTGCAAATGACAGTTATAAGAGTAGCTCAGAAAGTAAATACTGGCTTGCTATTTTTCAAAACTTGATAATTGTTTTTCCCCCTGTGTAGGTTACCACCACCCCCACCCCCGCCTCTTTTTCCCCTCTACTCCCCATTTAACTGAGGGGGGAGGGGGGCAGGCAGCTAATTAAGAACTTGATGTATTGGGCAGAAAGGCAAAGCAGATATTAATTTAATGTCCTGTTGCGCAATTATATGTGACAGAGCTTGTGGCCTATTCCTCTATTACATTCTATCCTGTGCAATCAATTCAATATCATGGATTGAATCCTTTTCAAAGCCCCCTGGCCTCTCTTATCATTTGTTTTAGGATTTCTTTTGAGTGCACACCTCCTTAATCACTTTATTTCCAATTTCAGTACATTTTGTGATTCCCTGCTCGATTTTTCTCAGGATGTGTCCGCTACAGCGACATCTTTTTTGTCTTGTAACTATCGATACTAGTGGTTGCCCAAACATTTCTCTTATTTCTTCCCCCTTCTTAAATTCATTCCATTTTATGTTCATCATTTTCCTTCAGCATTTGTTCTTGAATGTATTTATGTTCCATTCTTTAGTGGTTCTCTAACTATCATATGTTAAAACTTGAAATAACGTTGGCTTTGAAAAAAAAAAGTAAAATTGGTGTTAAAACTACAAATTAAGAGTTCCATATTTTGTTTGATGTTTAGAAGCTCCCTTGCCAATGCATGTCATAATTCCTTTTTCTTTGTGTTTCATTCACTATTAAAATTACCGCGTAAATAAGTAAATTGATCTGTTATTTAAATTCCCCCTGCAGCCTAGATATAAACCACAAGTGAACAGGTGGAATGACCCTTTAAGGGCAAGCATACATACAAGAAAAAGAATGACCGTTTTTAAGCAATAATAATAAGTTTCTAAATGCGCTAAATTATGCCACATTTATGTTGCTAAATACTGTAATTTAGAACTGCCTGGAGTAATAGGTGGCCAACCCTATTTAATTTAAAATTATTACAAAAGGTTAACTATGTTACTCAGAGCCAACTTAATAGCACTGTGAACCCCTTGGCAAACCAGTGTGCTGGGAAGCCTATGACAAACTCACAAAACTAACATTTTTTTAATGGCAAGTCATTTGTCATACACAGACTAGCATCGGGGCCCCTGTGTTTGTGGGGCCCCTCGGCCCATACGTTAAGATGGCACTGATGTCATGCAATGTCACTTAACTACACTGACATGTATAAAAGTTAAGTTATGAATTGGGTTATCCTCATGACACCCCAGACATGCCTATCACAGGTCCTCAGACACACCCCCCCCCCCCCCCCCCCCAACAATATATATATATCAGGGTTCTGTAGCTATAATTGATTTTTAAACACTAGAAAGGCCCTTTTTAAACAGAATTAGGCATGTAATCCTAGACCTACATTGTACAGGCCATCCAGCACGTAGTGGGTTATGTAGCTGACTTTTACGACCTGCTTGTTGGGCTGGTGGCAGTGGGTCTGGTCTCTTCCCCACCCCCCACAATGGGGTCTTGGAATCCACATGTGGAAAGCAAAACAGTAAAGAACCTTTTTCGTGGCAATGAGGGGCGGAGAGAGCACACGATGGGTAAAACAGTCAACATCTTGCTAGCCATTTACTTCCCTGGAAATTTCCTGGTGTCTACTGTAGGCTTGGTCGACCTAGAAACAACCTTTTTTTTTTAAACAAACCAGACTTGATTTAGATTTGAATCTATGATTTTTGTGTGTGTGTGTGGATGTAGAAGCTGAGGAATTTAAACACCTAATGCTTTACATGTTTTTTTTCTTTTAAAGATAGCTAACCCAGGATTTACTTTCTAAGCACATTTCATTTTTATAAATGAGAAAGCTGCAGTGGTGAGAATATGGAAATATTTGACCACTAGCATCATGTGGACGATGTGTAGACACACTCTCCTGCAATGTATGTGGCCTTGACATTCAGCCCATCATCAAGGAAGATGAAATCAGCATCAGCACCAAAGTTTAAGGTTCCTTTTCTGTCATCAATTCCCAGAAGCTGTGCTGGGTGCAATGAGGCGGCCTCCAATGCCAAGACTGGCCCACAGCCTTGGACAATCAATACAAGAAATAGAAGTCAATTATCTTTATTTAAAAATTGTGGACATAAAGAAAACATTATCCAGTTTATTGCTTGGCATATTTTGCTCTACTTGTGTGTTGCTATATCTGTCATCTCAATACAGGACACAATTTTTGGTTATTGTAAAACCCCACCCGACTGCAGACGGGGGCACTAATATAACCTAACGAACAAGGTTTCTGGGACCTCATCCACATGGTGGCACTTTGTGTCACCGGTGTTTATGCTTGGTGGATGTCCTGGTGGAGTTAAATCTCATTCATTCACCTGTGAGGTGTATTACTACATCAACATATATGAAACAACATTAAGTTTAAGAATGGAGGTGGAGGCAGTTAAAGCAGCTTTTTGCTATCTTGAGAACCAGATCACACACGTTATTGCAACACACTAACAAAACATGCTGAGAAAAGTGGAGAAAGGTATGCTTCATCCAGAGTGAAAAGCCTCACTTCAGAGGTTCCTAATAGTTATCGCCCCTTGGATATTTTCTCCAGGGTGTGCAGGTGTAACTGGTTACCTTATTTATGCGTGTACAGGCCATAGTATCTTAACCGAATATCCTTAATAAAAAATATGGTTCAGCTTATATTCAAGATATTACGCCTACATGTCACTTGTTAGAATTTATTCATAAACAATACAATGATATCTCGGTCATCCACCCTTTCTCTTGCCATCCTATCAATATTCCAGGCGGTAGCTTCTCCTTGTGCATGGATTTACATTTAAAAATATGTAAGTTTGTGTCTGTCAGCAGTGATATCTGGCATTAGGGACACACCTGTTTTGTTTTTCTGGCCCTGAAGTCCTCACATGCAGTTTTTCCCCCATGTTTGTTCACTTCTGTTTCACCCAGCATATCGAAAAACATGGGAGTTTCGAATGCATTTCCAATTGTCCCCAATGCTGTAGTTGTGTGTCTTCTGTAACTTCACAACATGTCTGTGAAATGTAAACAGTTTCTCCTGGTAGATGTCTGGAAGTTGCTGTAGCCTTGTTGCTCACTGCTGAATCATGAGGTCATTTCATGCGATAATTACCCTTCCAGACCATAACTGGCTTTAAATTCACTTTGGGGAATTCCTATCCTAATCTGTTTATAGGTACTACTGTTTTGATATTTGGTCACTCGACGAAATTCTAAGAAAACAGACTTTCCCTAAAATTATTGTTGCAGAAACTAGATGTGGCCTTACATGTGTAAATACTTTATTTTCTCAAGGGTGTGCAAGTGTGTTGGGAGATTTGATGTTTTCTCCAGGGTGTGCAAATGTATTGATAAATGGATATTTCTCCAGGGTGTGCAGGTGTGTTGAGAAATGAACAGGCACGCAGACTAGCTTATGCCGCACCACTGGGTGGCGTCTTGATACATGAATAGCTAAATTTGGTAAAGGCACCATCACCTGCAAAGATAGAAAGGTGCAATAATATGGTATGTGCCTGAGTAAAACGTATAAACAAATGCCCTTATTCGGCTACCGTATTTCCCCAAGTATAAAATGATCCCGCGTTTAAGATGCACCTTGAGTTTGGGATCAGAAATTAGGAAATAAATAATATGATTGCACAAAGCTGTTGAACTCATGTTTTATTCATCATAGAATCCAAAAACCTCCTCATCAATATCAAAACTCTCATCCATATGATAGTTTTTTTTTTTAGCTTGTCCTTGTTTGTGTCTGATGACAAATAACTGTCTTCAAATACTTCCTCTACCTCAGTTCCACCTGTGGCATATGAGATGTCGTAGCCAGTCTCAGATGGTTTTCTCATCTGGAGGAGGACCACGTTTACATTCAGCAGCACAATTTCTATTCATTTCTGCAAACTCAGTCACTGTCAACTTGAATTCAGCACTGTACACAAATCTTTTCTGAGACATTTATGGGCAAAATGTAACCTAATGTAACAAGTGTGAAACAATATGCGCGAAGACCCTTTTAAGACCCTATATTTGGGGAAAAAAAGTGTTTTGTATCTGGGGAAAAACGGTTGTTTCTTTCAAGACATCATTAAGGTCTCGTCTTTCAAAGGGGTCTTATCATTCTTAACAGATTCACACATTCAATCAAATAAACGTACCTGTTTCTTTAGCAAAGCACCGCACACAGTAATCTAAAGTCGCAGTGCTGTTGTGACAAAATGAAACAATGAAATGAATTAGATAAAGAGTTAGTTGACTTTCTAAGTATTTTACAGTGGGTGATAAGAACAATCAGCATCCTTACATTTCAAACACTGCTGACAGAGTTGAGCATGTACAGGTATGTCCCAAGTATACAGACATCAATTCTAGTTGATTATTTATTCATGGAGAGGCATATTTTTCCTGCTGAACCGGTGAATGTGGGTTTGAATTTATTATGGCCTTATTTTGATTTATTCAATGTGTATTTTCCCCAACTGTTTAAAAAAAATTAACAGCTCAGTGGTTATATTTTATAGTAAATACAGTCTGATTTTGATGGAAGAAAAAAGTCAACCACATTCAACCTGTTGTTAGCAACTCTGTTTATAAGTGTGGTTTGATTTATTTGTGGCAAGTATACTGGGCAAAATTGTTTATATTTTTGATAAATTTATTGACTTTTACATTTTTTGTTCTACTGTAAATGACAAGTGTCCCTATTTGTTTTTGTATGTTCTCATTACTATCAACATGTAAGCCTTCAATGACTTATTTTGTTTTTGAAAACAGTCTTCCAGGGGTTTTCTTTCATGTTTATATAGGGTGCATGTTAGCAGGAAGTGACCTATTGTTGTCTCTTTCCTGAAAGCAATCTAGGCATAAGGGTGCTGTAAATTTGGCTTTCCAGTATCCGTCTTAATTTCCATAATTTTATCATTTGCTGGAATGTTTAGGTTGTCTGAGACTTCTGATGTCAGGGCGAGTTCTCTCAAATATTTGCAAGCCTTTCTGCGTGTAGCACTAATTTCCCACTGTCTCTTACACATTCCTATCAGAATAGGATTTGTACAGCTCCTGACAATTCTCTTTCTCACCTCATCTGACAAAAAAAAAAGACTGCATAGAATATTCTTCATTTTATGAAATATTGCATTTGCTTGAGCTATTCTACATTTATTTTTTTTCAATACATCTTCGATCTGCTGTTATCAGGGTACCCATGACTTAAACTAATTCATTTAAGTCATGGGTACCCTGATAACAGCAGATCGAAGATATATTGAAAAAAATTAAATGTAGAATAGATCAATCAAATGCAACATTTCATAAAATGAAGAATACTATACAAACTACACTAATATTAATAAACTTGTAAATAAAAGCATGATGATTACACAAATATCACAAAGCTGATACAACTATCATCATCATGTAGCAGGTCCTTTGCAGAATGTCGCTCTCATCACAGACTGCCTGAAAGAAACTCGGTCACTTGCCAGCTCTCCCGCCTCATGCACTTTCATACTCAAGGAGTCACTTATATCCTGTGCCCATCTTCGTGTCGGTCGGCCCCTGCCCCTCCTTCCTAATACCATGCCTTCTGCTATAATTTTTTCCAATCCGTCGTGGCGCTTGATATGACCAAAATATTTCAGCTTCCGAGACAGGATGCTGTTTATTAGCCAATCTTCCTTGATGTTCAGATCTTTCAATATGTCAGTATTTCTCCTCTTTTTCGTCGAAGATATTCTGAGAATCTTTCTACAGCATTTCAGCTCAAAAGCCCCCATTCTCTTTCTTAAGGACTGGGAGATTGTCCACGACTCACATCCATATGTTGCTACAGGGAAGATGCATGCTCTCAAAATTCTAATTTTGATCTGCTGATACAACCACACAAGTAAATTACCCTCCAGCCAATATGTTAGTATCCTTTATGTAGACCTCGTATCCTTGAACCTCAACTGTCTGCTCTCCGAGCTGGTAGGTTCCATCTGGCAAACCCATGGCCCCAATAGCATCAGAGACAAGGACTATTCCTGGAAAATGCAAAGTTTGTTGTTTGCTTAAATAAATAGTATAAATCATTGGGTAACATTTGAGACGACTAAAATATCATTCCCTATGTGGTTTCTGGGGCCCCTTTTTGGTTGAAAAATAGACCTACTTATCACTACTGAGCATGTGGTAAAATAGTATAAATCATTGGGGAATATTTGAGACGACTAAAATATCATTCCCTATGTGGTTTCTGGGGCCCCTTTTTGGTTGAAAAATAGACCTACTTATCACTACTGAGCATGTCGTAAAATAGTATAAATCATTGGGGAATATTTGAGACGACTAAAATATCATTCCCTGTGTGGTTTTTGGGGCCCCTTTTTGGTGGAAAAATAGACCTACTTATCACTACTGAGCATGTTGTAAAATAGTATAAATCATTGGGGAATATTTGAGACGACTAAAATATCATTCCCTATGTGGTTTCTGGGGGCCCCTTGTGGGCGAAAAATAGACCTACTTATCACTACTGAGCATGTCGTAAAATAGTATAAATCATTGCGGAATATTTGAGACGACTAAAATATCATTCCCTATGTGGTTTCTGGGGCCTCTTTTTGGTGGAAAAATAGACCCACTTCTCCCTACTGAGCATGTTGTCAAAGGCGACTAATTAGAATTTTGCTTAAATATAATGTGCTGGGTTGAAAGGCACATATATGGCAACCCAGCTGTAGACTAAAGCAACATGCCAACTGCCAGGGTGAATGCAGAAGAAGAAACAATATGATAAATTTGCAAGTATTAAATGACACTCACAGCAGTAGAGGGAGCCAATGTAGCGTAGTGCTAAATGGCTGTCTGCTCGTCCTAAAGAACTGGGTTCAAAAAACCTTTCCAAAGGTAAGGTCGACTTACATGGCAGGAATAAAATATAAGGTAGGTAAAGACCTAACTTTAAAAAAACTAAACTTTGAGGTCTCTATGTACAACAAGTCTTCTTGTATGCTGCTATTTACAGTAACTAACTAACTAATCAACAAGCAATGATTGGCTCTGGTAAAAAAAGACATGCTATGCTCATCCTATCTTCTTAATTCTGTCTTCCGCACCTTTTTGGCAGTGACCATTAGGTTAAGTCAGTGGTTTTCAACCTTTTTCAGATTGCATCCTCCTTAATTAAGGCAATGCTCACCCTACCCAAAACAACAAAATGTGATCAACTAGAGGATGAATGTGTTCTTAATCTATAATTAAATGCACAAACTATCATAATTATAATTAAACTGGTAAAAAATGTTAGTATAACAGATTATAAGAAGTACATGCGAGCTCATTTCCAAAACTGCTTTATCCCTCCCCCCCCCCTCCCCCATGTTGAAAACCACTAGGTTTAAGTTTACTGATCTCCTCTGTTTCTATCAGTGCTAAACTTCATCATCATCATGTTGTGATGTTAAAATGTCACACATGGTTAACTATTCTTCTGTTCCATCTTGTTTTGTTTTTGTAAATTAATATGAACAAAATGCAATCCAGAACTGCCAGACTCCATCTGATGAAAAATTATTTTTTTTAAAGCCATGTATATTTCTGATCTTAAATGATAAAAAATGCATCGGCATTATCTGCTCACGCGTAAAATTGTCACAGTCCATTTAAAAAAAAAAATTTGTCAGATCAGTGAAATTCTTCCTTTTAACCATCTCAATTTCTGCACACAATTAACTAAATATGTCCAAAAATGCATACACAATGATTCAGAGAGAGAGAGAGTGCAAAGAACACTGATGAGAGAGGCCAAGGATGTCAGAGTTGATTGTAATGATAAGAAAAGACTGCACATGACAAAATGGAAAAATCAACTGCAAGTCCTATGTGAAGTATAAACAACAGACCAGGATGGTGATGATAATGTAAGGTATTCTTCTTTAAGTCCATACAATGTGGCATTGGTAGTCATGTCTATCCACAAATCTTCTGTCTCATGTACTTTCAATCAACTCTGACACCATGCCATGATGTCAAACTGTCCAGCATCTTTTCTCTCGGTCTCCCTCTGCCTCTCCTCCCCTCCAACTTTTCTGCTGTCACGATGCACTCCAGTTTTCTCCTTCTCATCACATGACCAAAGAATGTAGATTGTCTCTTTCTGATGTGGGCAATCAGTTTTCTTCGTGAGTCAGTTTCTTTCTAGACATCTTCGTTACTCTTTTCATCTGTTCAGTGTATTCTTATCATTCGTCTATAAAACCATATCTCTGCAGCTTCCAAATAAGTTTTCACTAATTCACCAACTGTCTATGATTCACTCTAATATATCAAGACAGGATTTATACAGCTTTTACAAATTCTCTTTCTCCTCTCATTTAACAAAGAAATGTTACATAAAATATTCTTCATTTTGTTAAATGCTGCCTTTACTTGAGCTGTTCTACATTTAACTCCTTTAATACATCTTCCATCTGATGTTACCAGGGTACCCAAGTACTTAAATATATCAACTTGCTTGAGGTTTGTCCTATTTACTTTGATGCTGCATTTTGGAGGGTCAGTTTTCTTCGTAACTACCATTACTTCTGTTTTTCTGCTATTCAAATTACGACCCTTGTTTTCACTTTCCGTTAAAATTATATCCATCATCTCTTGCAGTTGTGTTTTATTTTCAGCAACTAAAACTATATCTTCAGCATACAGCAATGTCAGGTTCAAAGGAGATTTTTAAAAACTGTCTCAGACAAATTAACAAACAAACCCAAACTTAATAAAAGCTTTTAAAAGGACACCCAATTACCATCAGGGTTCACCCTGTGGGCGATTCTTAAAGCTGCAGGGTGTGTGTGGATACAATCTGAGATCAGGCCGTAGAAGACTTTCCTGTTCTGTGGGAGCTTGTCGCTGGTCAGCAGGCCTACCAGATGTGGGTCACGGTGGTGGAACTGAAAATATACAGATGTATCATGATATCATATATCCCATGCTTAAGATTTCTTGGACAGTTTGTGTAGTGAGGGGGAATTCCCAGGAATCCCAAAGAGTTCCCCAAGATGATGAGTTAGGGTTAAGGGTCAGTCAAGTGATGAAAACCGGGGAAAATGGACACTCGCAAATTCCCTTGTTTGAATGAATGATTGCAAGCCGAAAACCGTGGGATGAGAACTAAGGTCTGAAGGTGAGAAAGGAGATCAGCCACAGTGAGAGGTCAAGTTATGTGAGAGAATAACTGTCATGAAATGTGACTTCTGACAACATGAAGATGTCTCTGACATCTGAGGACGAATGGCTGTGCAGAAGCGATCCTTAACTGACACCCAAGCGTCTGCGAAGATTGCGGTGCTGTGTTGGAGATGCAAGTCATTCGTATAAATGGAATTAAGGGTAAATATGTTCTGAATGCAGTGTTGCGTTTGTAGCAGTATTTATGATCAACCTTAGCACGACGAGTGAGAACTCAGAACAGCACAACATTATCACAGTGTGAAATGAGTAAACGATGATTTCACAGAGGTTAGAGCCCCAAGACAAATTATCAAAAACATTGGAAGAAGACAAGTCATCACTCCTTTGGTCATGTTATGAGAAGGACCCTGGAACATGTTAGGACCACTGAAACAATCTGTGGAAAAAGAGAGAGAGAAAGACAACAAAAGAAGATTCTCGCAGCCTTTTGTCATGATATGGAGGGGTGTCAGCACATGCTGTCAGAGATCAATGAGGTTGTGGAGAGGCATGATCATCCATGCCAGCCGGCACAGCACTTGATAATATCGTGAGACTATGGAAATTGTTAAAAATAGCTCAGCTCTTTCAATATCAGACACCCCTGTGTGGGTTCTAGGGTCCCATTAGGGACAAACCAAGAATATACCCACTGCCTCCCCAACAAGAATGTCGTAAGAGTCGACTAACTGGGGGCTTCCTTTGAAGTCGGAGTGCACCTGCCTGAGAGGCAAGGAACTAACAATCTGCATACAAATAAGTCAGATCTGTTTAAAACAGATGTGCACAAAACACTCATGTTCTGGAACAAGACTAAAGTCCAGAGGTGAACAAAAAACCAGAACTTTCCCCTGGAGTTTACAGACGGTCGACTTGAAGAGAAAGAATACCAGACAGCTGCTAAATATCCAATACTGAAACAGAAAAAAAATGCTCTCTGTATATCCCAATTAGATGAAATATTGTCAGCGACTGATAGCTGTTATACTTTACAATATGCCAAAGGCACGCAGGTGAATTCCAGCCCTCAACAGGTCAAACTGAAGCTTTACTTTTTATACAACTACACAATTTTAAGAGATATCTAAATGTACAAACACAATTTTTTTTCAAAACAAGGATCTGACATTAAGGTGACCTTGGTGTAGTGTCTTTGACATAATCTAGTTTTGCCTTTCATTTCCCAGTTGCATAAAGTCCCTCAACCAATTACGACCCTTGCTGTTCACAGCTTTTTCTGGCTAATATTTACGTCAGGTGGTCACACCTTTGTCAGATATTAAAATGGCCAGACAGATAAGTGATTTCTCTTAGAGATACTTCTGCTAAGTGATTTTGTGAATTCATTTTTAAATTTATAGTATTGTATATTCATGTCATGGGCTGATAAACCTTTCTAGCCGCAACGTTCACATTTTGTTTGTGTTTGTAATGATATTAAGCCATTGCTTCTACTTTTTTTTTAAGTTTGACATATTCTTGACCAATTGACAGCCTTTGTTGACTTCATCATGTTTGCTTGGATTCTGCAGCTAGAGTTGTTTACATGATAAAACAGCTTGAGTTTGTCTACAGGATAAAGCATCTAGATTTGTCTAAAGAATGATGATGCAGCTAGAGTTGTTAACAGGAAGAAGCAGCCAGAGTTGTCTAAAGGATAAAACAGCTAGAGTTGTCTACAGGATAAAACAGCTAGAGTTGTCTACAGGATAAAACAGCTAGAGTTGTCTACAGGATAAAGCAGCTAGAGTTGTCTACAGGATAAAGCTGCTAGAGTTGTCTAAAGGATAAAACAGCTAGAGTCGTCTACAGGATAAAGCAGCTAGAGTTGTCTACAGGATAAAGCTGCTAGAGTTGTCTAAAGGATAAAGCTGCTAGAGTTGTCTAAAGAATGACGCATCTAGTCCACAGCCAAACCTCCTTAGCCAGCTTGAACTACTTCTTCTACTTCGCATTCACCGGCTGTGAACTCCAACGAAAGGTTCTGGTTGTTTATCCACTTCTGGACTTCAGTCTTTTTCCAGAATCTGAGTTCCATGTGCACACCCACTTTACAGATCTGGTTTATTTGTATGCAGACTGTTGGTTTCTCGATTCTCAGGCAAATCTACTCTGACTAGGAAGAAAACATTTCTAATGAGTCTGCTCTTATGACATGCTTACTGGGGGATGTGGGTCTATTCCAGCCCGTGAACCCACACAGGGAGCTCTGCATAAAACACTAGGCCAGATGGGATGGAAACCAGTCCACCAGATATTTTGAATTTTCATAATGCAGCAGCACAAAACTGCTGCGGGCTAATATAAAAGACACTCTACGTGAAAAACAGCTCACAGTGTTACATCAAGCACTGTAGTGACCCATTTTCTCCTCGACATTGGCCAACATTTTCTCTGTGATTCACGACTCTGCCCTTCTTACATGTAAATATCTCATTCATATTTATTAGCTGACGTCATTCCATCTGGGACATAATTTATCAAGGAGAAAATGGATTACATGCACTGACTAGTTTAGAAAACAAAACCGTGAAATGTATGTAAACTGCATTAACAAACTAACCAGAAGCAAAAACACTTGAAAGCCTTAAAAGACTTCCTGTCTATCCACCATATTTGATAGGATGGAGCAATAATGAGGCGACCTGTCTGCAGTGAAGCTCAACCCTCATCTTCTACACAGACACTGTATTTCTTACAGAAAGGTTAAATACAATATAGAAGTGGCCATTAGGAAAGTCAGGTTCCTTAAGTATGCAACGATGAAACCTAAAAATTGAGAGAACACAAGACGTGGTGGTAAAAATTCACCAAAAACAGAGCGATGCAGAAATGCTGAACAATATGTGTTGGTGCACCAGGGTACACACTGATCAAGACCTTTCTACACGTTTTCATTGCTTCCTAACAAGGGCCTGACCAATGTAAAAAGGATTGACGTTCCTTTTGAAGTTCTTCCATGAGCGCACCTCCCTCAGAGACAAGTAACTAGCAGTGCGTATTTTTTTAAACGCCAAATCTGTAAAATGGATGTGCACACAACACCCAAGTCCTGGAACAACACTAAAGTCTAGAAGTGAATGAACAGCCAAAACTTTCCGCCACAGTTCGCAGCTGAAGAACAGTAAGAAGAAGAGAAGATAGAAAAGCCGACAAACATAAATTTAGCTTCTTCCTGGTAATTTTTGTTATTAAGTACTCACTGGCAACATAGCATTAAACAAATGAGTGATAAATCTGGCACCAGACCGTACAGCTGCTTCCCCTTCCACCAAGTTAGCGCTGGAATGTCCTGAAAAAAAAAAAAACATTTTATGACCATTTAAAAAAAAGACTCATTCCTGTAAATATGTCCTTTTCCCCCAAGTATTCTAATGAATATTTAAAAAATATATATATATTGTAAATTTTATGTCAGATGTGAGTCTTTGTGTCTCTCACACTTGCCTGTGGCAGCATTTCTTCTTTTGTGTATGTGTCCTTAAAAGGGCGGCTGACACACTGTAATGTGGTTTACAGCTAGGCTCCACCCCTGAGCCCTGGAAATCCCATAGGGAGTAAAAGTTTAATCACCAGGAAAGGAGGGATTTTGATTTATCGCCACAGCTGTGGGGTTGATTCAGCTTAAAAAACAACTGGTCGAAGATAACTGCCAGCATAGTTTACAGTGATGAGGAATAGATATATTCATATTTGTAAAGACCAATCAGAACTTGGCGGAAGATGTGGTCAACATCCCGCCGACAGCCTTTACTTCCAAGGACCCCACCTGGAGCAGACTCGATGTGGATTTCCATCCACGACTTTCAGGCTCGCATTTGGGGGTCTAGCCACTTCAACTCTGTGGCTTCCCACTAATAAATGTTTGACAAGCTCATTAGTACTAAAGAGTTCAATGTACTCACCAACTGAAACAGTTATGCCCCTTTTGCAGAACTCTTCAATAACCTCCAAAGCATTCTTTTTCTCTGGAGCTAGAGTGACAAGGGTGACATTGCTCAGATCTCCGTACACATCAAGAATGTCAGAAAAGCCATTATCAAAGTCTTGTATAAGCTGCACCGGGTGACACCCCTTTCTCTCTTTGTTTATGAATGGTCCCTCAATGTGAACACCTGTAAAGGGGTGAAAAAACAGTAAGATTAATGCTAAGCTGACATGTTTGTTCATTTTCTTCTTCCTAGCGTTCACTGGCTGTAAACATCGGCAGAACTTTCTGGTTGTTCATCCACTTCTAGATTTTTATCTGAACCTGACTTTTGCGTGCACACTGATTTTGTTTATGGATCTGGCTTATTTGCATGTATACTGTTGATTAACTGCATTATGACTTAAAGAAAACATACCTAATTAGAAACATACCTTTTACAACATGCTTATTTATTCTTTTTTTTTCCTCTCCCAAAAAATGGGTTACAAAACCCACACAAGGAAGCAAGTTTCCTTCATGCGTTGTTAGGTATTTAATTTTTAGTTGACTCATTAACTGGTTCAATAAAATAAAAGTTCAGATGACAGGCCTAAAATGGGTATGTGTGCGGATGGTTAAACGGTGTGTGCAGCCACAGTACTGCTGTGAGCTGAAGCATGCATGCCCGCACAAAAGTTGAGGGTTCAAAACCTTATCAATGCAAATTATTTTTGTTTAAAATGACCTAGAGCTGTAAGGTCGACTTGGTCTAAAATGGGTATGTTTGCAGGCAGACGGTGTGAGGAGCAGCAGTACTGCAGTGAGCTGAAGCATGCCTGTCGGCACAAGGGTTGAGGGTTCAAAACCTTATCAGTGCAGATGATTTTTTTTTTTACGACCTTTGGCTGTGTGGTCGACTTGGCCTAAGATTGGTCTCAGGAAATATCCTCTAGAATAGAGTCCCATAACTGGCAAGCCAGCCACTGACCTACAAAGGGAATCTTCTTGGGTGTTTGTCCTTAAAAGTAAAATCCTAATTAGTCACGGTTCACAACATGCTTGTTAGGAGACATTAGGTCTTTTATCTCCCCCCTCTCCCCCAACGTGGAGCCCTTTAACCGACTCAGGAAGGAATGAATTTGACACACAAGAATTTTTATACTTGTAAATGATATCACTAAAACAAAGTACAGTAGGCTACTCCCTAACTGTACAGTGCCCCCCATCAAGGCTGGCTGCAATGTATCTCCAATACACTCTGTCTCTTGTCTTGGTTGTGCACTCTCAAAGACTGCTGTTTGCCCATCTCTTGATGTTGTCCTTCCACTTGTATCATTATCTAAGTCTTGTTCTCTTGTACATTCCCTCCACTAAGCTTTTTAAAACAGTGTTGTCTTTTAATGTGGCCAAAATATTTAAATTGTCTCTTTTTTTATTTACTTTAGAAATATGCTTTTAATTTGCAGTCTCGTTTGAGCCTCTGCATTCTTTTTACATGAAATACGACCTATTCTTCCACATATCAATATTTTCAGATATTCAATTCAATTTTCAAGTTGTTTGTTCACAGGCCAAGTTTCTGCACCATACAGCAGGGTTGTGCTTAGATGGCTAAACTAGGTTTCTGGGCTTCTGTTGGGTTCATATCAGAAGTAGTAGCTCTTTGAGTCAGTCACAATTACTATGTGTGTGTTTATCATGTTCTCTAACCAGCAGAAAGCTGCAGTGACCGCCTCCACTTCCATTCTTAAGCTCGATGTTGTGGTATCATATTCTAGGCTCTCCTGCACCAAACGTCGACCATTAACATTTTATAAGAACCCCCTAGTACTTCTTTTGCCTCCTGACACTGAACAGTCTGGATAAATAATCACATCACCAGAATGAGCATCATCTTGACTTAACTGCTGGATTTCCACCTTTGTGGTACCTGCTGGCCACTCTCTGCACTTGCGGCTCAATGTGATTATGATTCTATACAAATCTGACTGTTTTCTGACCACTCCTCTTGTCGCCTAATGTTCTCCAGGATGCAAACCTGTTTGATCATGTCCTCTGCCTGAACCAGCCATGACTTCAATCTTATCAGTTGCTGAACCTTAACTGTGTCTAGTGATTCATGCAAAGGATGATCTGTGTCTGCAGCTACTCTGAAGTATGACTTTTGCCTGCAGAACCCTGAACCTACCTTCACCAGCTGGCAAATGAAGAATGTATTGCATACACAACACTCTGGTACAGCCCAGAATAACCCGCATAGCTGCATTCTGTATGCGCTTTAGTTTAACCAAGTGACTCTTTGAGACAGTGAGCAGTCCTAGTCCACAATCAATTACCAAGAGGATCAAGTGCTGATCTGCTGTGAAGAGCATTCTCTGCTCTATGTCCACTGCAGCCATAGTCTTAAGTGCACCAAGTCCTTTTTGGCATCTTATCACAACCATCTCCACATGGTCACTGAAGGATAAGCTCCCAAATACTCCAGTTTGCTCTCTCTCTCTGTTGACATTTCTACCATCATGAGATTTGGGACATCAGCTCTGACAATCCTGTTGTCTAGAGAACACCAAAAAACAAACTAAAACATCTTCAAAGAAATAAAGAAGACAAACCTAACACTCCAGCACCCTTGCTGCTTCCTTCACATTTCTTTATTAATGGCAAAACCTGTAGGCAGAGATAATTTGCTAAGTATAATTTCAAAACCTGTGGACAGATATAATCTGCTAAGTATAATGGCAAAACCTGTGGGCAGAGATAATTTGCTAAGTATAATGGCAAAACCTGTGGGCAGAGATAAATTGCTAAGTATAATGGCAAAACCTGTGGGTAGATATAATTTGCTAAGTATAATTTCAAAACCTGTAGGCAGAGATATGGCAAACTACTGGATGTAAATTTGCCTAGAGAAACCACACAACAGCCAGGGGCTGCTTGGGTTGGTTCTGCAACGTCCTGTAAAGGATACGCAACTAACCTTAGTGGGCAGAGATAATTTGCTAAGTATAATGGCAAAACCTGTGGGCAGAGAAAATTTGCTAAATATAATGGCAAAATCTGTGGGTAGAGATAATTTGCTAAGTATAATGACAAAACCTGTGGGTAGAGATAATTTGCTAAGTATAATGGCACAACCTGTGGGTAGATATAATTTGCTAAGTATAATGGCACAACCTGTGGGTAGATATAATTTGCTAAGTAAAAAGGCAAAACCTGTGGGCAGAGATAATTTGCTAAGTATAATGGCAAAACCTGTGAGCAAATATAATTTGCTAAGTATAATGGCAAAACCTGTCGGCAGAGATAATTTGCTAAGTATAATAGCAAAACCTGTAGGCAGAGATAATTTGCTAAGTATAATGGCAAAACCTGTGGGCAGATATAATTTGCTAAGTATAATGGCAAAACCTGTGGGCAGAGATAATATTCCAAGCATAATACCAAAACCTGTAGGCAGAGATAATTTGACAAGTATAATGGCAAAACCTGTAGGCAGAGATAATTTGACAAGTATAATGGCAAAACCTGTAGGCAGAGATAATTTGCCAAGTATACATAATTATGCTGTCTGTTGTGTGCTAAATTAGTTACCACTAGTCAGCACACCACCAGGCGTCTAAAGGTACACTTCCGCTTCCTCTCTTAGAAACAGAACTCGACGACGATGACACCGTCATACATTTTATTCAACAGGATACATGACACAAATGCAGAGACGTAGTTATTGATCACAGTTGACATTCGCACATAATTCATTTGTCCTCACTCGCTCTCTCTCTCAATTAGTAGCGACCTCTCCTTGACCACTACAGCGTCCCACACTCTGGACGCGCCGTACAGCTGAACAGGACGAATTCTCCCATTCACTGGACCTTGATATTATTTCAGCATATAACACGGCTGACTGGAGACGGACTTCCCTTGCCATACTCCGAAAACACACAGCTGTCGTCAGCTTGTCGAAGGGCTCCAATGACCGACAGGACTTCTACCATAAGTCCCCTCTAGCCCACAGCTCTCGTCGGCACCACTCCCCCCTGTTCTGGTTCACTAGTGGTCCTCCTACGTCTCACTACGTCACCACCCATAACAGGTACTACTGGAGCCTTCCGCCCCCCTGGACTTACTTCACCAGCGGGACCATACCTTCCACCAGTACCGCAACCTCAACACTTACTCAGACCTAAATGCCTGATAGTTGTATGGTATTCTTGTCTGTTAGACTCGAGAGAGATATCACGGACCCGGACTCTGACTCTCGCTTTCTCTCTCTCTCTCTCTTCTCTCTCGACTGCTTTGACTGACTACTGAGTCCCCAATTTATCCCCCTCCAATCCGTGTAGGTGGATGATGTTTACACGAAAGGCACGCTCGTATGGGCGCTCTCGTGAATCATGTTCCTGTGGATGTTCTTGAGACTCACGCTGTCACTTAATTCACACTTTCTCTGTTTATCTCGTTAGCCATGCTTTCAGCCCCCACACAGTGACCCACGCGTCAACTTTCTCGTGGCACTACAGAATTACTCTCATACCACTGTCCCTTCACACAATATCACACTTTACCCAAATCAGCGTGCAACACTGTCACAGACATTGGGTTCTGAGACACCTGGTGGTAAATTCATGCATGACACGCTAGATGTTGTAAGAACCCTTTCAGAACGAGTGAACAGTGCGGAAACACAAACAGATCATCATAGATGAGGAGAATAGTGCTGTGAGGAGTGATAGGGGACCTGGCTAATGCTCAATACTCAAGGAAAAGGCGGGACGGGTATACAATCAGACTGTAACTGCTGTCATCTGAACTGAAACTCTGCGCTTGCTGCTGAAGATGGGGACACAGTGCTTACAGAAATGTTCTAAGCGATGCGAGTTGATTCTTAATTGAACATACTACATTCAATTATGCCTTCAACAATAAATATCCCTTCTACATAGAACTAGCCACAGGTAAAAGCCAACCAGAAGAAATCAAATCAATTTAAAGATGCCTGTAAACAAAACATGAAAACCGTTGGTGTATATACAGAAACACAGGAGAGAATTGGAGCAGACAGACATTCCTGGAGAAGACATGTGTAAAATGGATTGGTGCTCTTTCAGTGCAATCTGATACAATAGACCAATGGAAGGGGTAAGGCAAGAACACTGACCTGATCCATGATTCTAGTGATCATGTCAACGTCAAGAGAATCGACTTCACTGCACCGGGTTCTATCCCACAGGGATCCGCCTCCCTCTCCAGAACAGCTGGCCACCCGGCAGGAGTGTCACAACAAGCATCAACACCAGCTCCAGTGACAACCCCAAGAGATCAATGAAAAAACTGCACTCAGAAACCGACGATGCAGCCACACACAAATAACCCACGACCTTCAGAGCACGAGGCAAACAACATGACCACTTCACCATGGAGATCCCTCTGGTGACTGGGTGAGATGGTGAAACATGACAGCCTATGTTTACCAGCATAGCACATGATCTCTTCTTATTTTCGTGCATCGGCTGTGAACTCCGGCAGAAAGTTCTGGTTTCATAGACAAATGTTGATAACACAAAGGACAAATTTAAAAAAAAAAAAAAAACTTTTTTAATTAAACAGTAATAAATGTCTTGAAAGCAACTTATTCATGAGATTGCCCACACAAGAAGGGAGCAATCTAAATCTATGGTCGTTTCATTAAAAGGAACGGGGGGAAAGTTGGAGGGAAAAAGAGGCAGAGGGAGACACAGAGAGAAGACGCTGTACAGTGTGACATCATGGCATGGAAGATCATCTGTGTCAGAAAGTACATGACACAGAAGGTTATAGAAAGACATGACTGCCATTGCTGCACAGCATGGACTATAAGAAGAAGATATCCCAAGAACAAGAAGACCAAATAAAAGCCACTGAATACCTTATGGTATAATGTCGGCGAAGAAGTGATGACGGTTGGACAAAATGAAGTTATTCCAAATGCCAGAACTTCTTTAGCAACCTTGGAAATGCCCTTCTCTATGTCTACATCAGTGGAGAAATCGTATCCAAACCCACCTGTTATATGATAGCAGAAAAATGTATGTTAAACACTGAAAGATAGTAAATTACCACATTGCAAATTTTTTAATATATATTTGTTAACGTATTAGTGCTACCTTTTCTTGGGAGTTAAAAAAGCAGGCCGACAAAGGGATCATGCTGCATGGGCAACATATGGTCTCTACAATACCCGCCATGCTTTGTGCCAACAGGAGAAACTCCAACCCTGGCCTAAACTTGTATCCCTATGGGCTCTGTCTGATACTCACATCTGGCTACAGCACAGTGGAAAAATACCATCTGGAAAGACAGAAAGGTGCTAAAAATTTCAGTCATGCCTAGATTACTGGGGGTCCAGAATATGGTGTATTTGGTAAATGATGCTGGACTCATATTTTTATAAACCAATAAGCACTCAGCAAGTAATGTGGTCCACATCAAAGTGCCTGTTTTCACTTTTTAGGACACTATTCATTGAGACTATTAATACATCAGTTGCTAACTGTTCCACTTCCCATGCAAGTGTCTGTATGATGGCTTCTATCTCCATCATCATGTTAATCTTCTTCTTCGCATTCACCAGCTGTAAACTCTGGTTGTTCCACTTCTAGACTGCAGTCCTGTTCCAGTACCTGAGTGTTGCGTGTGCATCCATTTTTACAGATCTGACTCATTTGTATGCAGACTGCTGGTTCCTTGACTCTCAGGCAGATGCACTCGGACTTTGAAGGAAGCTCCCATTTAGTCGACTCTAACGACATGCTTTTGGGTAGGCAGTGGGTCTATTCTTGTTTTCCCTATAACAGGGAACCAGAACCCACACGGGGAATCATGTTAATAATAATAATATATACAACTGAAGTTGTATATGGTATTAGAGAGCGGTATAGCACTAAACTTCCATAGCTGCCTCACGTGACAAGCGTGGCATCCAAACACACCTGTCATATGACAGCACAACAAATTATGTTCAACACTGAGAGACCAATTAAACTACTCATTTTAGGTAGGGTCGACCTGGAAACAAATTCGCATGTTTCCCCCTTAAATCCACCCATGGGTTTTCATAAGGGAAAGCACAAATATAAACACTGCAACCTACCACTCACATCACAAGAGGTAGCAATGGAAGGTTGATGCAAGACTGATTTCTTATTCCATCTATAACTGAAGTTGTACTTCTAGCATAACGATGGAGATGACAACCATCATACTGACTTTTGCATTGCTGGTAGAACAGAACAAACTCAATTAACATGTTAAGAAGATCCAAACTGGCAAACTCTGACAAGAAACTGTCTTGACTGTACAAACCAAGACTTACTGGGGTGAGAAGAAATGAAAGAGCTGATAGACTGGACATGTCTGCAGTGGTTAGTGGAGAAAGAAGTATAGAAAAGGAAGACACTGAGACAAAGGAGTCAGAAACAATTAACCGTCTGTTGGAGATGGGTGTCAAATGAGGTTACGCATGCAGAAATCGGTTGCAAGGCCACACACAAAACAGACATGCTAGCCAAATAAGATGGCTGCTTCTTGCAGCATGGAGAGATCATCCTGGAAATACAAATAATATGGTATATATGGATAATAAGTAATAAAATTAAAACAGTAAAAAATAAATTTATAGAAAATATGTGAGGGGCAAGGGCCTTATGTTCTTTGCAGAATTAAAATGTGGCTACAATCGAATATACCCACCTGTATACCCTGCTGATTTCTGATCAACTCACCATTCAGTTGAACTTCTATCAATCCAGGTGAAATAATCAAGTTGTGACAATCAATCCTGACATCTGCGATAACTTTCTCATCAAAAAACAACGGCTCAGGGTTCATGATTTTGCCATTCCTCACCCACAGATCTTCACGAAAAATTTTTCCACCTCTGAGAATCCGGCAGTTTATGTACTGATACAGAGTACCTGCCCCTGTTGTTGATGATGGAGCCATTTTGTTGGCCTGCAAGTTAGAAACAAATATAATTTTACATTATGGTGTAATCATTCTTGAAATTAGAAGGTAAGAACAGGCATTTCTTAGTGTACCAGTCTTCAATAGACCGCAGTGTTGACACAGCCATGGGGTCGTGGTAGTAAATTTCACAAAGAAAGCAAGGACGGGCCACTTGAGCTAGTGAAGCAGAACTAACTTCCCAGCTTGAAAGAATATCACCAGCCTGAGTACAAGATGGCTTGTGTAGCGCTGCCAGGCGCTGGAACTACACTGGCCATGCACCTAGAATGGATGAGACCAGACTCCCCCATCAAGCAACTTCAAATAGACACCAGAAGGAAAAAGAAAATGTGGAAGACCAAGAAAGACTGTGTAGAAGCATCATTAGGGAAAGCTCAACCATGGGCCTAGTGAACGCCGAATACCTAAAACAGGTGGCAACGAACCGCAGGATATAGAGAGCTATGACTTCTGCCCTGTGAGCTTTAGGCTCAAGAGGAAAGACTAACTAACTATATATTCAATGAGTCCTGCACAGACTTGTATGAGAGAAATAACATACTAAGGTCTTACCTAAATAACTCCCAAGTCTCTCTTTATCATTGCTTCCTCCCTCAATGAATCACTCCCCCAAAAGTGCCAGGCTAAAATAATTTTCCTGATGACATTGTATTTACATGGTATGTGTTACATTTGTTGCAAGTGGTATTTAGTACCAATGCTCAGAGACACATACACACAACATATGTACATGAACATATTACATTACTAAAGCAATGAGGAGAAGATTAGAAATTTAAGTTATCCACATGTGGGTTGATCTCTAGAGTCAGCTTGACCTTGTAGTTACAATGACATCAAGCAGGCAAGGGCAGATATCATGACAAAGAATGTTGCTAAGATTGTGTGGGAGTGAAGTTGCAGTGTAGAGTGAAGGGGGAAATGGCATGAGCAGGGAATGAGGAATACCAGTCAGGATGGGAACTTCAGTATGACTGAGATAAGGGCAGTGTTAAAATGGGGGGGGGGGGGGGAGAGACTGATCAATGGGTAAAAAGGTACATAGATTAACTGATAGCTAGACAGTATAGACTGGTGCTGAGAGAGAGACATACTTATTAATTATATGAAATTGAAAAGATGGGTGGATGAATTAAACACTATAGTAAGTATTTGATCTTGTTTCCTCCAGTGTGCCATGAATCCTTATATTTATACTAATTACAAATTATAATGAGCAGCTTCTGCTTCTAGATTTTAAGTAAAAAGGAACTTAGCTTTAAATTATAAGGCAGCAGCAAGAAAGAACCTGTAGGATAAGTATAAGATTCAGAGAAACAGTTATTGACATTGGGTGCAGAGCCAGTGTGCTACACATAACATGCTATATTACTATTTAAGCTTGCCTAATATAACAACCAGCCCAACTATTAAAAAATGTTCACCAGCCAACCAACTCACTGCTGTCCATGAAAAGTCTAGAAAAGTCAGCATCTACACCTTAACTCTTTGAGTCCTAGGGGGTTTAGCATCAGAGGTCCAAGGGGTAGTAAAAAGAGAGGTAAAATCGGCGCATCTTGCGTTCATTGGGCCTCTAGGTATGCCCGGCAATCCCGTATGCTATAATTATGATGTCCATCTTTTAACCCTTTGGAGACGATGTAGCCTAAATATCTGCCCAACACAAAGTAGCCAACAAGACGACTGGACCGATGTCGGCCATATATAATAGAAGCCTTGATACTGGCTGGCAGGTTTTCGTACCAGCCAATCAGACTGTTTCTTGCATTTCTTGTTCACTGATGGCTTTCAAGAAAGTTTGATGTGTTCTGTAAATTTACTGTCGTGAAATGATAGCCATTTCGCATCGGTCTGTAAGGCTGATAACCTGTCTTACCTGTAATCTGCACCAAATTCAAACTTGGACTCGCCCAGAAATATATAGTCCCTTATATCTATATATATAGGCCTTTATTGGACAACATTATTATGTCTGCCTTTTCTGGTTACTTTAACTAAACTCCACTTTTAAATGTATATCTCTTCGATATATATTCAGGGAGTTATTTGAGGTTTCTTGGAAACCGATTTACTCCTTGCCCATGTATACAAGGGACTTCTTTTGTTACCAACGCCTGAAGTGTCTAAGTGACGCTATTCTCCTTGCCAGCTTCTCAAGCGTCCAGATGTGTTAATCTGTGCCTGTATAAAATTTCACTTTTCAAGGCAAATCTGG